GAGATCCGCATGGTGAAGCGATGAGGAACATTCAGGTTTCTGGGTGTCTCCTTCACGGCTATGTTTCGATTTTAGGGGAACCCCTTTCTGTGGTTTGAAAGGCAAGCCAGCAGGAAAACCACAATTCTGGGGGGGGGGCCCAAAATAACACGCACCCCATGTATGACACGTATGAAGCAGAATCTGAAGACATCATGTTCGGACGCCTCAGTTCGCTGGAGGTGTTGTTTGCTAGGCTACTGAACCGCTAAGGCTATGGAGTCCCTGAGGGAGGATTCCCAAAGCGAGGCAAGAAAGCTCTCAACTACCCACCCCTTGCACCTGCAACCCCTTTACTTCCATTTGCTTCAGAATATTTGTTATTTTCCCTTGTTGGTTTTAAAAGGAATTTATCACTATACTGGAAATTTGTTTAATTTGTTCCAGGGGTCTCAACCAAATGGAAGTTTAGGGATTCCATAATAAGGAGACTCTGGGAATTTATTCGACTTTCTGTGAGAGTTGCCAAGGCAGAGACTCCCGGGAGCCAAATGTTTTCCACCGGTTCTTAGCTTGCAAGTTCCGATCGCCAGGAAGATGAGATCGACAGACCGGCGGCTGTGCAGGCACACAGAAGTCGATGCGGCTGATCGTTTCTTGTGAGGTATCCTTCCATTTGGTTAAGAATATGTTTTCCCCTGTTGGTTTTAAAGGGAATCTATCACTACTACTGGCAATATGTTTTTCTTTCCAGGGTACTTAAGCAAATGGAGGTATGTAACATGGGGAGGGTAGTTCCTGTGATTTTCCCTACCTAAACCCCAAAAACTGGGCCCTCAAACCACCCAGAAGAACTGGTTCTGGCCCCCAAATGTATGGTGTGATGTCCATTTGTTATGGGTACAATCAGGGTTCAGGTGCCAACAAGTGGGGGGGGGGATCCCTTTTTTCTTGGCCACTGGCTGGCACCAAGGCACCGACTCAAGCTTTTGCCAACGCGGCCAGGGCGAAGCAAAGTCTCTGTACCTCTGAGAGGCGAAGCGGAGCGAAGGATTCGTTTTCGGTGGCGTTCTTCCGGGCGCGCCGAAGCTTCATGGTTGTTGGGGGAAAAACAACATGTTTGCTTATTGTGGTTTAGTGGGAAATTGGGAAACATTGGAAACATGTTTGCTTCTTGTGGTTTAGTGGTTGAAATCCAACCACTGAACTGCTAAGATGTATTTATTTTTCCTCCCATTCCCACGTCAACCAAGGAAAGGGCTTGCAACCAGTTTAAGCCATCCAGAAAACCTAGAGGTCCCCTATCCCAGTGGGGGAAACTACCACGTTTGTGGGGTGCCCTATCCCAGTTCTAGTTACTGATAGTGGGCTTGCCCAGGGATCTACCTCTAGGTTCTGGATGGTTTCCCGTGGTTACTATAGCTTGCCTGGAAGCACTGGGTATGTTTGTGGCTGAGCAGAACATTGCGGGTATAGGCTTGACATGGGCCCAGGCCGAAAGCCAAGAATCGCGCAAACGAGGAGAACAGCCGAACCGAGTCAAGCCAATCAAGACAAATATAAACATCAAATGGCACAATGTCATATTCGAAGCATGAAAAGCATAGGAATCGATCGAAACATTCGCGCATAGGACTCGATGCGTCGGGAAACATTCGGTGCATCGAGCAGTCGAGGAATCGAAGATCCAAGTCGACGAATCTTGTTCGGACGGAATGTCCAGCATCGAAGCGAAGCCCCCAAAACATTCGAATCGAGATGCAGCTCTAACATGGGTGTTTCTCAATGACCCTAAAGCTGCAACTGTGTCCAGTTGGTGTCCCTTACATCAACCAAAAAGACTCAGTGCTCCAGCTTCCACAATAGGCTTGCAAGTGATCCTTGCCGCAAGGGTTTGGATCGTTTCCCTTGGGCAAGCCTTTATAGGAACTGGAAGCGCTGGGAAAAAGATGTTGCCTACATAGCCAAGTTGCGATCGCTTTTTCAGTCACTGTTGCTGGTTTTTGGGGTAAAGTAGGTGGGGAAAAAAAGAAGCAACTGGCGATCCAGGTGATTTTTTTGAGAGCCCCCCAAATGAATATCTAGAGTCTCCTTCTGACCCTTTGAAAATGGGGTCATGACCCCTTTCTTTTGGGTAGTGACCAACCATTTTTTAAGGGACAGAAGGAGACTCTAGGTTGATTATTTTGAGAACCCCCGCCCCCAAATGACTAGGATGCAAGCTCTGAGTTCCGTTCCGTGCCAGGTTCGCCTTCAATCCCTGAGACCTGATCCTGAGCGGGTCTAGACATGCTAGGAACGGTTTTCAGCCCAGGCCTCGCCTTTTCACCGCGAGACCCAGAAATGAGTCGCCCCCTTGTCTGCCCTGGCCGTTTTTTGTTTTTTTTTTTTTGGAAAAAAACCTTAAAAAAATGGATTTAAACAACAAAGCACGCCAAACAACGGGCATGTGCTGCTTTTGAAGGTGCCCCTTTGCGATCTGAGCCTTCCAAACATCGGCCTTTGTACGGCTGTCCAGGTTAGGGGCGAGTCGACTCGGGCAGATTTTCAAGCCGGGAGCCAGGCATGGCAACCAGCTCTGGTTGCACCATGACCGTCGTGAGGACCAGTCCCAGCCCGAAGAGTTGACGCCTGTCTAATGTTAACCCCGGATTAATAAACTCCTGGTTGATTAATAGGGGGGTGTCCCCTTTTAGTGGGGATTCAGACCACTTTTGGAGGGAACACCCCCCCAATAATGGGACGGGTTTGTTAATCCTGGGTCAACATGAATGCTTGAGGTGTTGGGTTGCCTATTAAAAAACAAAAAAAAAACGACCGGACGGGCCATCGGGCCATCGGGCCATCGGGCCATTCGGCAAGAGATCACCTTGGGTTTTGTTGTGCTTCTCATGAGCATCCATTGGGATCCGTTGACTTGTATAGCTGACTCGATTTCATGAACTTTAGTCACTTTCGGGGCAGTGCAAACAGGTTTGGACTTGCCAGTCCACTCGATCAGAAGTGAGGCCAAGGCCAGGGGGCTTGCCTGGGATTTATAGGGATTGGTGCTTCTGGCGGCGGCGATATTTGACAAAAAACCTCTGGCATGCCGTGTGTTGTTTTTATTTTAGTTGTTTTAACCGGCATGTCGGCAGCATCGTTTCTTAAGCCCTAGATTCGATGGACTGGCTTGGCGGTTCGGAAGATGTTGGAAACGCGCACAAAGCGCTAGGAACTGGTTCACATGTTCGAACCAAGCCAGACACAACTAGGGGCAAAGGGGCAGCATTGCTGCTCCCGTGATGGTTTTGGAGTTGCCAGACAATCAGGTAGCTTCCTCATGAACCCCCAGGGGGGCTATGAGCCCTATGGGTGGGGGGGTTGTCTGGATATGCCCAGGATAAAGCCCTTAAGGCCTTCAAGGGGTGAAATTGGGATAGACACCCCCCTCCCCAGTTCGCCCCCTTCGGGGTCCTTGACTTCCCGACCATCTCAATGGTTTCACCCGAGCGCATCATTTCAAGATGGCGCAAAAAATATCGCTCGGCAGCCCAAAGGGCGTTTCCTGGTGGTGTTACGTGTTGCAGCTGTAAAAACTTACCGAGGTAGTTTGCGGTTAGTAGGGCACAGTCCCATAAATAGGCCCTGCAAGAAGCCTATGGGATGATTTACCATGTTTGGGATTGACTGTATCAATGCCCGTTTTTGATTGTGGCTCCGGCGTCGCAGCATGAGTTTGTTTCGTCTGAAGCATGATTGAAGACTTCAGGGAGGGACGCGGGCGGTAGTCGTTGTTGCCGGGCACTGTACGTCACTGGAAATACAGTGGATGGACGAAATCCTGCACCACCTAAGAAACCCAGGCGAAATGGATTTTGTCTATCCACAGTATGTCGTACTTTGTTCAGACAACTAGAGGAACTGGAGGTTTTGGATGCTGAATCCAGCTGCCCGTTGTCGAGAGTTTGGGGTGCCCGTTTGTCATGATGAATTCCAGTTCCGCCGAATGTTGACCCCAGATGTTTCAACCCCACTTTGTTTTTTTTCGGGTTCCAAAGGGGTGTCCGATTCTGGTTTGGGGGAATCAACCCACTTTTGGAGGGGCGTTTAAAACCAGCCCCTGCTAAGAAACAGGTTGGATGAATTTGAGGTTGCCCGAGGAAAGGGATTCCAGTGCCGAAATGCTCAGCTTACAGAGATGATTTTCACAACATGAGCAATTTGCAACCCCAAGCGGCGAAAAACTGGGTTGTTTTCCCCAACAACAGCAATGGTTCAGGTAAACCTTAATCGGCGGTTTGGATTGGTGGTTTGGAATTGGATTTGAACCCTCTGGTTCTTGTGGGTAAATGGAAAACCACCACTAACCACCAATTCAAGCCTCCAAGGAGAGGCAAGCTGACATTCATAGGGTTTCATTCGCTGTGGCATTGCTTTTGGATCCCCGTCCGCAACGGGAATCCCAGCTTGGCAGAGGGTTTTTTCTCATTCATTCTTGTAGAGGGGAAATGGGGGTTTGCCACCACTAACCCGCCAAACCCCCAAATCACCAATGATAGGGAAGCTGAGAATTCTCCAAGATGGTTAGTTTTTTGTTTCACCACGAACCCAGCAAACCACCAAGCCGCTCATCGGCTCGCTCCAAGCCGTGGGAAGCTCTGGGTCCAATTTTGGGGTCTCTAGGTCCCCCCGTAGTGCCCTTTTACCAACTTTATTTGGGGGGAGGGAAACCCCTACGAAACTGGACAACAACAAAACAAATCGGGTACCCTTATTCTAGCCTCTCTACTGGAGGACCTACGTCAGGTTCGCAATTTTTACAGTCGGACGCGCCTCCGGGAGCTTTCCGGGGAGGATGGGAAACAAGCCGTGGGCACTCATCCGAACTCTGAAATCCAGACGTCGTCGTAACGGGGTTCTTTAACGAGGGTCTTTTCCTGTGGACGCACTCTGGTGATGTGCGCCCATGATTCAGAATGCAGCACTGTCCTTGGGGTTTAGGTCGTGAATAGGGTGTGTTTCACACGCTCGGCTCTGCTAGGTCGGCTCGATTCGCCTCGATCCGCCTCGCGCCATGATCCGGAGGGAATCCGAGGTGACAGCTTTCCTGCAAGAAGCCGGCCTCGCTCAGTATGCCAAGGCCGGACTTCGCGGTTCTGCCTCCAATAGGAAGGCCCTCAAGGCCTGGGACAAACAGCAGTTGATGGCCCCTGAACCCATCCGTGGCAAAGATGAAGGATGGACACTGGAACCCCTGCTGACCCTTGTGCCAAAGACCCTTCTGAGCAACCTGTTGCGAAAGAGTGGAGAAACCAGTATGTGTCAAATAGGGGTGTCTCGAAGTTAAGGATCCCTCAAATGGCTGGTTTTCTTTTGGCTTAGCCATCCAAGAAGTGTTTCCTTATTTTGAGACAGACCCTTATGACATCGAGCAAATAAGTTGTGGAGTTTTTTTGTAACGCCAGGCATGATTATGTGTGTGATGTAACCCAGCGTCGCAGAACGCGAGCTAGCGCAACACAACCCGTAAAAAGTGAAGTGGAAGTAATTTCTGTGATGTTATGCGATGTTATATGATGTTTGCAGCATATTAATGCAGGGCTCCTTAAAAGATACATTTTGCCCATTTGAAACATGGCTGTTTCCACCAAAATAAAGGGAACCCACCATTTACAAGGCAATGGTCAGGTGTTTTTCATGTAAGGATCCCTGCAATGGCATGTAAGCAAATGAGTTGTTGTATAGTTGAATGTCATATCCGCTGTTTAGAACCTATCGGGCCCCGCACCATTAGTCTTTGGGGGGCCCTGGTATTTGGTGCCGTTGAAGTTGGTTGGAGATTTCACATGAGTATGTCCTAAAATAGGTGATCCCCAAACACGGTAATCTCTCCTTGGCTTTCCTTTCAGATAAGCCGAAATGGCAAGCCTCAAAGAAAGACACACCCATGGTGGGTTCCATTCAAAACCCCTAGAGTCAACACCGGCGTCACCCAAAACTCGCCCGCGAAGAGGCTTTGGAGCACCACGGTATCGAGATGCAGACCTTGATGAGCATGCAATATGAGCCAGCCTCAGTTTCTCGGGTGGATCCGGATCGCGCGTGGCAATCACGTTTCACCCCTCGCCCCAAATCGGCCGGATCTGATTTTTTTAGTATTCCCTTGATCCATGTTGAATCATGTCCCCAGGTTGACCTTGTATCTGAACTCATTGGGATCCCTTGGGCATTTTCCTTTTTGGCTTGTACAGAGTGATTTGTTGGTCCTTGCACCTGGACATGGACATTGAATCACTTAGGTGAAATGCTGGTCTCGCGGATGCAAAGCTCAAAGCCATGACTAATTAAACCATTAGGGTAGCACGGGGGCAAGTTTGTTCTTTGTCTCATGACCGGTCAATCATGATACACCACCAGGGTAGCCTTTGTGGGCTTCTGTGAAAGGAAAACCAAGGGGAAACTACCATGCTGGGGGTGCCAAATTTAAGACACTCCGTGCTTCCAGGTGTTTTGCCACTACAGTAGGTAAGGGATCCTTACCAGGTTTTACCATACATGGTTTGCCTTGGTTGTAAGTCTACTATAGTGGTATTTGGAAGCAGTGGGTCATGATTCGTCAATGGTCAATGTTCGATTTTGTTGAGTCGGGCAACTGTCAAGACCGTGTGTCTTTGATCAGTGTTGGGATACATATATATATATATATATGTATATATATATATATATTTGCCATGGGAGATCCAAGACAAAATCTGCTGACGGCACAACAATCCATAGAGACCTTGCATGTTTCGATTGGTCTCATCAGATCATATAGCCAAGTTTCGATTGGTTTCATCCAGCTCACCCCGACGCCTCGCGCTCATTGAAAATGAGCGTCGTCGTTTGGAGCATACTCAGAACGGAATAAGTTTTCTGCGACATCCCGAGAAACCTAGGCGGATTCGGGCAAAACGACCCGTAGGAGCCGTAATCTTGTTAGCTCTTGAGGTGTCCCTACCGCTTGGCCTCTGGTTCTTGTGCGCAATTGGGATTCTCCAAACCTCCAAGCCACCAGTTGGAGGGAAGGTGAACCAATTTTCCCTCCTTACATGAAACCTGAGGTTCGGGGAATCGGTGGTTCGGACCATTATCCATTTAAGGGAGCCCTCGAACGTCAGGTGTCCATGTAAAAAGAGTGGGAGGGTGAAGAACAACACGAGAAAAACAAACGCTAGTTGGAAAGCTTTTTACCCAATCGACATGACATGTACCTGGAGTCTCCTTCTGACCCTGTAAAAGTGGTTGGTCATGACCTCTTTCTTTGGGTCATGACCAACCATTTTTTTTAGGGTCAGAAGCCTCTCGGTACATCTCCCGTGTCACGAGCGCGGTGAAAAAAACGGGGCCGAGGAGCAGATGCGCGACCTGGGCATGCGCTCAGGCCACGCCCTGAAGCTCAGGAGGCGGGGGGTTCGGGGGTCTACGGGGGGTGCGGTGCATTCGTGTGGACTCCTCGAAGCATCGCTAAAACCCTTCTCCACAAGTTGTTGGCGGACAGCCCAGTTCTCCAAAAAAAACAAAAAAGTGCACACGGCCCATTTTTTTGTTTTAACTTCTGCGGACTCATTTGGGCCAAGATTCAACTGCTTGTCCGGAAGCCACCGTGTTCGAAGCGAGAAGACCTGAAATGCAAGCAAAGCCCGGTGTTACAACGAACAATCTATTCACCCAGATTTATCGACCTTGGTGGAAGGACGTTTCCCAAGAGTGAGCCGGATTCCCGAGCTCAGTCAAATCGGCAAGCCCGTGGACTTTTCAACGTTCCCGCTGACTTCCACAAAAGCGCCCTTTCAGAAAGTAGAGGGACCGGGTCTTTCTAAAAACTCTTTCAAGGGCCAACTTAGTCTGGGGGCTCAAAGATCTACGAATTGTTCTTGGCATGCTTCATCTCACTTGCACCTTTTTGACTGTTTGACCGTTTGCTTTCCCCATCTTTGGTTTATAGGTATTTTGGTTCAACCACATATGAGCTACAATCAAAACCCGGGTAAGTGAAGGTTAGTAAGGGACGATCCCAGCCATAAATAGCTGCGGATATCCGCCGTCTATTAGTTCTTGAAGCATGGTTCTGGGATCACGACCATTTTTGTACCGGGTGTTGATTCTCGTATTTTCCAGGGCCGGCAAGAAACGGGTCATGCCCACCGGTTTCAACTGAGGCGATTGCAGCTCGCAAACGGCTCGGCCGCCAAAGGCAGCTCGCTTCGCGGAGTCGCCCTCTCGGGTGTTCAGTGGCACCAATTCTTTGTCCCTTTTTCTTGGGTGGCTGCCCCAAAAATGGTCCAAGCCCCAAAAGGGTTCCCTTCTTTTTCCAGGGTCACTGAACAACTGAGGTACCCCTTGTCACCTTCCCAGTTCGAGTTTCCACTATAGTAGGCCTGGATCATAACTGAATCATAACCTCCGGGTTTCACCATGGATGGATTCCCCGTTTACGCCTGCCATGTGGACGCAATCCAGCTGAGCACCACCAATGGAATGATTTTTGATTCCCCTGTGACCATCAAAGGTTATGGTTTTAACCTGGTTTCCAAGTGGCGCGACATGGATTTCGTCCATCCACAGCGGCAACTGGAAGCACTGGGCTTGATTCAAAGGGAGCTCGGGCCGGGTTCTCTTGGCCCATGGATCAACTCTCCCATATATATATATATATTTGGGGGGGATTTTTGTTTTTTTGGCACATACCCTTGGAATCCGCATAAAGCGGCCAGGCGTTTTTGTGTTTTTGTTTTTGTTTTGCTTCTTGGCTGGTTGGATTGGCTGCTCGCTTGCATCCGTGATTGAATGTTTGAACATGTTCTCTTTTGTTTGTGTGCGACATCGTTTGATGGCGTTGCAGTTTACTTGCTTGGATGCTACTGTGTGTGTGTCTGTGTGTGTTTGTATCTGTGTGCTTGGTTGGTTGGTTGGTTGGTTGGTTGCTTGCTTGCTTGCTTGCTTGCTTGCTTGCTTGCTTGCTTGCTTGCTTGCTTGCTTGCTTGCTTGCTTGCTCGCCTGTTTGAATTATCTTTGTTTGTTTGTTCGTTTTTTGTCTATTTGGTTGTTTGGTTGTCTGTTTGTTTTTTGGTCTGTCTGTCTGTCCGTCCGGCCGTCGGCCTGCCTGCCTCCCTGCCTGCCTGTCTGTCTGTCCGTCTGTCTGTCTGTCTGTCTGTCTAGTTGGTTGTGTGGTTGGTTGGTTGTTTGTCTTGCCGGTTTATTATTATTCTTGCTTGATTGCTTGATTGCTTGCATGCTTGCCTGCCGGCTTGTTTGTCTTGGTTGCTTGCTCGTTGGTTGGAGTGTGTGTGTGTGTGTGTGTGTGTGTGTGCGTGCGTGTGTGTGTGTGGGTGCGTGGGTGCGTGGGTGCGTGCGTGTGCGTGTGCGTGTGCGTGTGCGTGTGCGTGTGCGTGTGCGTGTGCGTGCGCGTGCGCGTGCGCGTGCGCGTGTGCGTGCGTGTGCGCGTGCGCGTGCGCGTGCGCGTGCGCGTGCGCGTGCGTGCGTGCGTGCGTGCGTGGGTGTGTGTGTGTTTTCCGTTTCCTTGTGACTTGATCGTTTAATTGTCCTTCCGTTTCCTTACTTGCTTGAATGTACGTTTGCTTTTTTGCTTTCTCCTTCAATGGTTTTCCCGCTTGCCTTTGCTTACTTGTTGGCTGGCTTGCTTGCTGGGTGGCTTGCTTGCGAACTTACTTTTTTGACTATTTAATGGATGTGCATCACTTACCAACATGCCTTGGTTGTTGGGGCAACATTCAGATTCCATGGCTTTGCCAGGTGGAAAATACATTTATGGCCGTGATTTTTGCTTCCCCCCAACAATGTCGAATTGAGTTTTGTCCAAACGTGTAGGTCATTTCGGATGCCTGTCGGCCTAGCATTGTAGTTGTTACACCCAACTATACTCCTTAGGCCCACGTGAGACACATCCTTGCAACTTGCACAAGGTGTGGACTTTTTTTTTCCGACTACTCGTTTGCTTGATTGTTGGTTCGCTAATGTGCTTGTCTTTTCCGTTTGATTGCTTGATGTTTTGTTCCCCCCTCCCCGTATCTTTGTTCTTTGTTCACCTGTTTGCTTGCTTGCTTTCTTGCTTGCTTGCCTGGTTTCTCGTGTGAGTACTTTCACATTTTGCTTGATTGCTTGTTTTCTGTTCTTCTGTTCTGCTTTGCTCGTTTGCTTGATGGCCTGTTCGTCGTCCGCGGTTGTGTTGTTTTCCCAGTTGCTGCTTTGTGTAATCGCTCAATTGTTTGTTCATATGATGCAGACAGACAGACAGACAGACAGACAGACAGAGACAGAGAGACAGACAGAGATGCATGCGTCTTTCTCCGGCCTATGTCCCTTTGGATTTCTTAGGTGACGTGGTGGGCGCATTGAGCGCTGTGCAGCTGAGCTGGCTCCGGCAGGAGGTGTCGCTGCAGCAGTTCTTGGCTGCGGTCCCCGAGGCCATGGGGCATGTGAGGCATGTGAGCCACGAAGACTCGAGTCAGGTCCTCAAAACCTGGGCAACTGCTATTTGCTCAGAAATATGTTATTTTCGCCTGTTGGTTTGAACAGAAACGATCACTATTTAAGCACATGGAAGATAATTGGAGGGTAAGGGACAATCCTCTTGCCATGAATGGGTGCGGATATCCGCCTTTTCAACTCTGGAAGCACGGTGGCTATCCCAAGTTTTATTACCGGGGTTTGATTATAACTCAAGGGAAGCTTAAGGCTAAAGGGAAACCACTTTGGGTTTTACATGGTTCATGTTGCTTGAGGTTGGTCGGGATAGTCAGTGAGTCATCAAGCGCTGAATTTAGACGACCGTTGTGAGGGCTCGTGGCAAGGGAGCCGTTTTGGCAACAACTGCTGCCTAGTGAGAGCCGGTGTGTAGCCACATGGGCTTGAAAGTCAGGTGCAAGAGCTGAGGCACGTGGAACCATTCTCCCTGCATCAGGTTTCACGGGAATCCTGGAGGCAACCCGAAAATTATATTCTGGAATGTTTGGACGTTTTGGGGCGCTTTACCTTGGCTGACGAGGAGTTGGACTCGCCTGCCCTGAAAGCGCTCTTTGGGCACTTTCTGACCATGGTGGGGCGCGTCGTCGCCGGGATCCATGACGCAGGGCGCGCATAGCTGCCGTGTTTCTTACACTACACATGGCTCCTTAACAGATACTTTTGCAACCATTTGAAACATGGCTTTTTCCACCAAAAGAAAGGGACGCCTCCATTTACAAGGCAATGTTCAGGTGTATATTGTAAGGATCCCTGCTACATTGTGGGTGGACAACATCCCCGCCGATCGGCGCCAAGTGTTGTGGTGGTGTATCAACCGGTTAGGGTTTCATCCATCCCAAATGGAGCAGGATGTGTCCATCCGCCCACTGATGGAGCACGACTGGAGACTGGAAGTTCCCGACTGCGACCACTTGGGTCTGTCTTTTTTGTGTGTGTGTGATCCCCTATTGGTTTGGTTTTTAAAGGGACACCATCAGGAACAACGTAACTTTGGGGTCCCCTAAAATAGATGCTCCGATTTTGTTAAGGACCTGATGGGAAGGGCAGGTGACCTCTCAGTTTGCTTGTGTTCCCTCGAGTTCAGTAGTGCCCGCTGAAACCCCTTTGTGTTCGGTGGCTTGACTGAACATGGTCAAGGGTCCGGGTCCCTTTTCTTGGCGGTTGCGAATCGTCCGGTTCCAGACAGGTTTCGAGTTCGTTAGTTTAGTGGTTGAGTTTCCGTATTTAATTCACAAGTCAAAAGCTTTTAGCAGATCTGCAAAAAATGGGACAGCCCAGTTTAGCCATGTGTCTTGCCGAAACTGTCACTGATAGCTTCGAAAAAGGCATGACACACATGAGCTCTTTTTTTAAGAGGAGAAACAACACCAAAAAAAAAAAAAAACACCCAGGAGCTGCAGAGGCTGTCGCCAGAGCTGCAAGAGCTGGGCTTGCTGCAAAGATTATATGGCATCAAGGAGCAGCACTTCCAGCTGGCTGGGAAGATTCTGGTGGAGCTCATGGCATCTTTGGGTCTATGGGTCTGTGTGTTGCTTAATTTGTTTTGTTCCGGTTCCGGAAGTATTTGTGTGTGGTTTTTAGTTGGTTTAGCGCCAGTGGTTCACTTTTCGCAGGGGACCGGGTGGATGGAACAGTTCCAACCCGTTTTGGTTTAGTCTCCAAGGGACTTGTGCCATGTACTTTCACTCCTTCCCATGGCTTACCTGCCGGTCCTAACTCAGTGGGAAGGAGTTTGCATACTGATCAAGTTCGTTCTAGTTTAAGTTGTAAGAAAAGCAAACTGTCACAAGTGTAGGTTGTCTTCAGTTGCAATGCCGCTTCCTATACCCGCTCCTGGCGGTTGATGTTTTCTTTTTTCCTGATGTTGTCGTTCCTCCCTCCCTGAGTTGCCTGAGTTCCTGAACCTTGGGTTCGGACAAGTTTGTTAACCTAAAGTTCCAACTTCCGGCTAATCCACGGGAGCCAGATTGAGGTTTAGGGAAGCCATAGGTTAGGATTTGTTAGGGTTCCTCCGGCAAGAGGCTGGCTTGGCCTCAGATTTTGTGTTTTTCTCTCGAGGTTGTTTGATTTAATCGTGGTGAAAAGCCAGCTCTTATATTACCCAGCGCTCTGACCAGAATCAATCTGGCTCATACCCAAAGACTCTGCAGAGGCTTTGACCAGGGTCACAGAAGAAGCCCAGTTTATTGGCCCTGAAAGCGCCGGAGCTCCGGGCGACGTTTTCTGCAAAGTTGCGACTGTCGAGCCGGAACTCCGGGAGTGCGGTTCTCCGAGAACGAACAGGGGGCCCCCGAAGAATAAGAATGTTTGTTTTTTTCCGGAGGGGACCTGCTTATTTTCGGGGGGGGGGGACCGTTTTATTATGAGGGGGACAGGATTACCCCCCCCCCCGCCCACTCCTTCCGTAGACCTCGCGTGCGTAAGGCATGCGAGCTGACTCCGGAGGCACAAAGTGCCTGGGTCATGGTGTCGGGCTTCATGGTCGCAGAACTGCTCGCGGGATTCCACGGGAACGGCGAAATCTCCCAACGAGAGTTTCGCTTATCCTTGATGTCTGAGTCTTGGATGTTTAGCAACCCGAAGACTGGATTATTGGTCTTCAGTGTTGTTGGTTTGGTCTTTTTTGTCCCACAAGAACATGCGCTTGGTTGGCGAATCCGGAAACAAACGCACAACTAGGTCCTCCAGTAGAGAGGTTAGAAAATGGGTACCAACTTTTTCTGTAGTCCAAAAAGAAGGGGAACCCTCCCCCAAAAATGTTGGTAAAAGGCCAATACTGGCGGTCCTAGACAAGCTGATTGGATGGGCAATGAGCAATGACCACCCAGGACTGTAGCACTGCCGTGGGTGATATGGACGCGGACTCCAGGACCACACATGACGGTGATGATGTGGATTTAGCTAGGACACCATGACGCGGTGGACCTCAGGGGTCCATCGCGCGCGGACTTTTTGGGGGACCCACTTTCGGCGTCATTTGTGACCCAAAGAGGGTCAAACCCACTGTTCAAAGGCCTCAATCCTTTCCCAGAAGGGGTCCGGATTTATGGGCCACCGAGCAGCCGAGACATCAACCCCTGGGTCCAAGTTCCCTCCAAGTTGCTACTTCCCACCTTCAAATCTCGAACGCCGCCATAGATCCTCAAATCGTACTTGGACTCGGGGCAAATTGATTTGGACTCTGAGCACAGTTTTTTTTGCCTCTTGGTTTATGCGCTCGACGCATACAGCTCAGTTTCGCGCGGCGACCAGGGCCAAGAGCCCATGTTCAGTACACGACCTAACATGGCTTCAAAGCTGCTCTCAGCGCGGGGTGCAAAGCAGCCTGCCCAAGCGAGCTGGATTGGACCCAGGCAAAAAAACAGCTTTGGTTGTTCAAAGGGTGGTTTAAACATGGCTCCATTATTGGCGGTTTTAAGCATCACCTGATCCAATTTTAAAATGGGACGTTTGCCTGACGCCTACGCGAGGCATGGCCGTTGGATCAGGTTTGATTATGGTTCCGGAACAATTCCGGTTGACATTCCCACCGGTTCTGAAACAAACGTCGTCGAAGAGTTCCCGGCATGTCACCCTTTTGCGCGCGCAAACGCGCGCCAACGCCCGCGCGCAAACGTGGCTGCTGAAATGAGTTGGTCTTTCTTCGGGCGTTTGTTTCAGTTGAAACTCAGAGGGGTGTGGCTCAAAATTAAGCAAGAGGGGCAATCCGCAGGTTTAGGCAACCACGTTTCCACTTACCGATCGGGCAAGCCATTTTGGAGTTCCCCGGTTTGTTGCATTCGCCACAGGAGTTCTTTGCTCTCAAGTCTCGTTTGTTTTCTGGGTCCGGAGTTTCGTGGGACCGGAGCAGAGAAAGAGCTTCGAGTGGCTCCCAGGGCATTTTTTTTTATGGTTTGAAGCGCTGGCAGGGAACGCTGGCTGCATGCAAGCTCAGTTCCCCAAACCGAACCGACCTTTTAACCCTTTTGGGTTTTTCAATTTGGGTCCATTTTTAGCGATGGCCCCAAAAGTGAACCTTTTATTTCTGGGTTGTTTGGGTAAGTGAGGTTATGTGAGGTTGCTTGGGGCCGTTAGTTTGCAACACATGGCTAAGTTTAGACGAGAAACCCAAATTTAGGTGTCACGCACATGTTCAAAGAGACTCGGAGACTCCCAATGTCACTTTACCTAGGTCCTCCAGTAGAGAGCTTAGAATACGGGTACCCATTTTTTCTGTAGCCTATTTTAGTAGGGGAACCCTCACAACCAAAAAAGGGAGCGAAGGGCACTACTGGGGGACCTAGTTTCTATTCGCGCGCAATGCATATCTACGGCTCTGCACCAGCTCGCTCGCCCGGGAGTCGGGAGGGTGGTTTACTGGGCGAGCCTTTTGAACTGGTCTCTCGGAGTGAGTTGGTGGCTTCCGTGTGGGCTTGCCTCTGGGGAACCCCAAAATGGGCTGGCTTCACGCTTCACTTTTGTTTCTGGTTGAAGCAACCGCAGTAAGGGTGCGGGTCAACAAGGACACACCCTTTTTATATAATATTGTTGGGGCTGTCGTTTGCAGACCTGCTTGAAAAAGAAACCGCAATGAGGTTTCTTCAAAGGTGGAGTTGTGTCCTGCAGGTACATTACACACCATGTTGAAATTGTGTTGGAGACTCCAGGTACCGTCGTTTTTTATCCTGAAAGTGGGACACGTAGTAAATAGGCTCATTCCCCAAGATCTGAAGTCAACAAAAAGAACGCAACCAAATTCCGTGGCGCCCTTCGTCTTTCGCCACTGCCCCAAGACTTGGCGAGGCGTTCCTGTCTTGTCACCCCTTCGTGGGAGCAGCACCATCCCCTAAACAGGGCTCCTTAACAGATACTTTTGCAACCATTTGAAACATGGCTGTTTTCCACCAAAATAAAGGGAACCCACCAGTTACCAGGCAATGTTCAGGTGTATAATGTAAGGATCCCTGCTAAAGGAATGGCCGGGAGTCATTGGGAGCGAGGACTGGAGCCTGGGACTGACCCTTTTCTTTTCAAGCGGAGCATCGGACCTGCTGTGCCGATTTGTTTCTCCCTTTGTGGAGAAAGTGGGCCACTGTAATAGCAGGCCAACAACGAGTGAAGTTTTTTCTTGCCCCACGGCCGGGGGAAAAGAAGAAGGAGGTCATTTTGGCAGGAAAGCCAGAACTGGGTGGTTTCCAGCCATCCCCTTCGGTGTATAGTTAAGTTGGTTTAGGGCGGGGTGCATTCAGCCCACAAGTTAAACTTTTCGCAGGACATTAGTTTGGACAGCCCAGAGAACAAGAGGTGCCGCCCTTTTGATCCAGCCATGTGTCTGTTTAACTCGCCTCCTGAAAACTGCCGGGGGTTTTCGATTTTGGCGCGAACAGTCCTGTGCTTGACTTGCCAAGGACATGGCCGGGTGGATTTCAGAGTTGAAGGCCAGCTTCGGATGGCAGTTGCCCGCCGCAAACCGAAGTTTGTGATCGTGCAGGGGCGTTTTTTTCTTTTTTTTCCTCCCCTTGCGGCTTCACACACCAGCTATTTGGCCCAGAGCTTCCCTTGGAGGTGTTGTTTTAAGTCGGAAGTGTCAGGACAGATGCGAAATTCCTTGCGGGGAGCTTTGCTTGTCCTTGTGACCGACCACATTTTGCTCATTTTGGTTACACCTCTTGGTTTGCCCTATGTACTCACTCACCTAAGTTCATAGCTTTAAAAACCCGTGGGCCCGTACGCTTTCCACTTTCTTGGCCAGCCCACTCAGGTGAGTATATTAGCCAGTTGGAGTTCCTACTCGCTGGCAAGAATTGGACAACATGTTTTCAGAATACGGTTTGGATTCGGCTTTTGTGGATCCACTCCTGTAGAATATTAAAAGAGTACTAGAAGATTACTAAACAAATGCACCAACAGGGGGAAGAATAGGTGAAAACAGCAAAAGCGCCTCTCCAAACCGTTGTCTGGTTTTTTGCAGTGCGACGTACCCAGGTTCCTGCTCACAATCTTCTACTACCACCACGTGATGAAAGGCCGCTCTCTCTGCGCGGATGGCCAAACCTTGTTAAACACCGGTCAACAAGCGGAGTTTCGACATGTTTGGCCTGCTCTCCCTATAGATGTAGTCTATACGCTAAACATGCATGAATGTGTTGATATATATAATGCATATATACATAATACATGTTAGAGAGAGACAGGTTTATATGTACACATGTGCGCAGACTCACATGTTCATTTGTTAGCAGACATGCAAAACATGCATTCAACATCTACGACCCATTTACAGCCCAGTCTGCGGCAGCCCACGCTCCAACCCCGAAAGCGGAAACGGCCGTGTACCCTCTAGGAGGTTTGCTCTACCCCGTCGAAGTGGTTTCCCCTAAAAATAACTATTTTTGTTTAGCCCCGAAGCAATCCACACCAACTGGGGGCAGCCCGAGCTGTGGTTGGATTTGTTTTACCTTACTGTTGTTGGATCATGTTTTTAGGTTTTTAGTTTTGGTTCTGTTCAAATGTTTGAAGTGGGGGGCTCCAAGAAACGGCCTTTTTTTCTGCAAGCCTGCAAGCCCATATTCTGGGATTTGTGAAGTTTCATTCATGTCTTCGGGATTAGGGTAGACTTGAATCCTGGATTTCAGTCTTCGGGGGAATGGCTGGCTCCGCCTCCTTTGGTGGAAAAGGGTGCCGAACCAAGCTCTATTGGAAAAAAACCCGTCGGGGTTGGTAAAAAACAGGCGACCACGTCCCCCAACAAAAAATGACAGAGGCCAAGAATCCTACGGACGCCAGGCTTCGTGCTGATGTACGTCTACACCTCCTTCGACTGGGTCATGGCTTCGCACCACGTGCGCGGCCCCCGCCTGCAGGCGCTGAAGACGGCGGCCCTGCTGCCTTGGGTGCTGAAGCCCATCCTGGGCATCGCCAGCGATATGCGCCTCGAGCAGTTTGCAGACATGGGGTGGGGCTGGGGTGGGGCTGGGGTGGGGGGGGGTTCTCAAAATGGCTGTGGGTCAAAACCAATGGGATCCCATTTTGGGGGTAGGTGAATTCACCAGCCATTTTAGGGCCTATTTTAGTGGGGGTTGGGATGTTCACTGGAATTACAGGAGTTTGACCCATGGTTTCTTGATTTTTAGTTGGTTTAGCGGTTGGGTTTCCTTATTTAGCCCAACGACTGTTTCAAGCCATCCGGTTTCTGAGTGTGTTTGTGATTGGCTGTGGCTCCAGAACATGGAAACAAACACGGCACCTTGCTAAATGGAAAGAATCAGTAAAACCAGCGTAGCCCTAGGAAATTAATTTCGAGCCATACCCAAATGGTGGTTCAACCAGCCAAGGAACCGGATGGTTTCTCCGGTGTTTACTCGGTTGGGTCCGTAGTTCAGCCAGAAGTTAAACTTTTAGCAGGGGATCTGAGGGCAGCCCAGTTCATTTAGAATCAATTCAAGCTGAAATAACATTTGTTTTGTCTCTGCCCTGTTGGTTTTCAGAAAGGAAACTATCACAAACCGGAAATATGGTTTAGTTTGCTTCCGGGGAACGTTCCGCAAATGGAGGTTGGGACGCCAGGTACATATCCAAGTGCTTCCATTTACCTGGATAGGTAAGCAAGGGAATCACATTCTAAGCCAAAAGGAGCAGGTTACCTACTATGGTAACTAGGATTCACTGGGATAGATGGCACCTGATGGAGGAAACGATGAAATTCCACACGAAAAGGTTGTTTTAACTTTACCCCCTACTTCTACCAACTCGGCATGTTTTGACCAATTCGGGTTATCCTCCCAACTTAATTTTCACCAACTCGGCATGTTGTGAGGGAACAAAACATGGCAACTGAAGGCGATCGACGGCTTGTGATGTGGTTGCCAGCAAGCCCAAGGTCGTTCTTTTGGAACCAAGCCTTCCGAGGGCGCGTTCTTTTGAGGGCACCCTTCATTAAGCGCAAGCCACAAGGACAGCGCACATGGGACAGTCTTGGCTTGTGAAAGACTAAGTTCTGGGTTTTTAGAAAATATGGATTTGTGCATGGTTTCCAACCCAACTGTTGTTTGTTTTTAAGAACATTGAACAAACAAACAAACATATGCTTGAAAAAGAACGAGGTTTTGTTTAACCTAATCTTCCCTGTAGATTCACATGGAGCTCCTAATCACAGGTGAGTGGATTCTGCAGGAGTGGAAGCTATGTTATCACTTCTTGCATTCCGGAGCTTTTAATCTTTGGAGGAAGGCCAGTTTAGTGGCAACCAAACAGATCGGACCTTTCGATTGCCTGGTTTTATTAGGGTCGATCGCTCTGTTTCCCGGTTTGGCAGTCTTCAACATCACCTTTTTTGCCCATAGGTGAGTTTTGGTGATGTTTTTAGGATGAACACAGAGAACCCCAACATGGTTCTCCGTTAGGTTTTCCTTTCAAGCCACAAAACGAGTACCCTCAAACACTGACCATCCCCGTTTAGGGAACGCTGTTCCCAGTTGTTCCCAATTGCCCCTCTATAATGCCAGGCGTCAGTAGGCAACAGCCCCTTGGCCTCTTTGTCTTTAAAGGATGGTTCCCTTGCTTACCTGCTACTCCCCTACAAATTAGTTCAAATGGAACCCATTACAGGTCCGATTCCCAAAGGGAGTTTCTATAACCGGAGGCTCCTTCCGTTAATCTGTGGGGGAGTACCTTCACTGTTGTTGGCATGTTTGTAGTTGTTTTTTTTGGGTGTTTGTGTCTGTTCAATTAAAAGCCGGGCTTTTGATTGCTGGCATACCAAGGGTTGTAAAGGTGCAAAACCACATCGAATTACAGGGCTTGATTCCCCCACCTGGGTGTGCCTTTTTTAGGGACCCCGCCCCCCCTCAAAAAACAAAATAAGGGGGGGGGGGGGAAAGCAACTGCGGCGGCTCTCCGTTTATTTGTTTCCTTTCACAAAAACGGGTACCAAACCAAGACAAGACAGACCCATACTTCAATGGGTCCCCGAACCCTGACCCTTTAGTCCAGGATCCCAACCATAAATGGTTGCCTTCGCCGCCTTCATTCTTTACATGGGTCCGGGCGGACCATTTGCCGTGTTTTGATTATGACTCACCTGCCTTTGCAGGATGCAAAAAACATCAAGCTTGTTCTGCTCCTTTCAGCTTCCCGTTGAAACCCACCCACAAAAGTTTCCCGCTTAAGACCCACTCCCAAACATTTCCCGTTCAACCCACCCCCAACAATTTCCAGTGATTCCAGTCAAAACCACCCCCGACAATTTCCCTTTAACACCCCCCCCCAAAAAAAACAACAACGAGGATACCACACCCCCAAAAAAAGCATCGGGACGATCGACGCAGCCGAGGTTTCCCATCTGCGGCAAGAGCAAGGCGCCGCACCTCGGCCACCTGATCAGATCCGATGGCCAGCATCCGGCAAAAATGGCTGCGTCGTTGTTTTTTGGGGGACTGCAACAGGCGCTTAGTTGTCCGAACGTTGGGTTTCCTTTAAAGGGCGTCCTAACTTTGGTTGTGCTAACGTTGGGTGTCCTTTAGAGCGATCCCAAGAAAGGGCCTCCTCAAGTCAGAGAGCCCTCGGGGGTCGCCGCAACGGGTTTGGAGTTCAGGCAGCTTCAGGCAGAAACGAAGCCCAAAACAGCCCGATAAACCGGATGTGCTGAGATCCGCTGGGAGCTGCCAAGCCTCAGGAACGTGTAGTGACTTTTTTGGGGGTGGGGGGGAGGCTGCCAACAAATTTGATATTGGGGGTTCTCGAAAAGGTGGAGCCCCCTTTTGGAGAAGGGAACCAAATGACAACAAGCCCAGGGGTCGCCTATTTGAGACAAACCCATGTGTACGTATAGATATACATTGGACAGGATAGATTTATTCTCATCCCCGGGCCATCCCGCGCGAGTTTTAGTGAAGAACCCCTCGAGAGAAGTCTTCTTTTGGGGGACCCCCTGTTTTGTTGTTGTTTTGATGGGACTTCCCCACAAAAAACACCCACCATTTTTTGTGGGTCGATCACTAAAACAAACGCACGCAACCCCGTTTTCTCTTCTTGAAATCCTAGGTCCCGCAGTGGTGCCCTGTCTCTCCCCTTTTTTGGGGAGGGAAACCCCCTAGTAAAATAGACAAAAAGGACAAAAGTTGGTACGCTTATTCTAGCCTCTCTACTGGAGGACCTAGTTGAAACTTCTTGGGGTTGACCAAGATTCTAGAGAAAACCCCATCAGGTTCTGTCTCCCAGGTCTCGACCCGCCTCTCTCTTCCATGTCAAGATACGATGGGTTTTGTTGCGTGTCAACCGGAAGATCCGATCCGTGTCGAACCGGACGCAAGCCTGTACTGCTTTGCTTGAAGCCGGTCCAGGTAGGGTTTCACTTTTTGACTACCCCAAGGTAGACTGAAACCCAGAGATTGTTGATTTCACCCAAAGGGACGTTTTTGGGTTTAAGTCTACAATGGGGTAGCCGAAAAGTGGAACCCTGGGTCCAGTATTTTTTTCTTGAAACCCTTTTTTGTTTGGGAACCCACCAGCAACACTCACCATTTTGGTCGTTGAAACCGGTCCAGGTACATCATCATGGCCACGCTGGTGGGCTGCCCCGCCTGCTGTTTCATCGGCTGCCACGAGAAGCTGGACATGTCCCATGAGTTGCGGCTCGCCCGGCGTTTCGTTCGTTTCGGGCGGCGGGAGGATGGATCCTTCCGCCCCGTAGGAAAGGCTGTGGTGGTCAAAACCGTTTTGGGATCCCCTTTTGAAGGGAGCAGCTGTCAGTTGCCATGTTAGTTGGAGGGAGGGTATAAACATGGCACCTTGCTAAATGGAAAGAAGCAGTAAGATCTGCGTAGCCCTACTTTAATTTTAAGCCATACCCAAGTGGCTGTGGTTGTCAAAACCGTTTTGGGATCCCATGTTGGGTAGTAGGTGCACCACCCATTTTAGGGCCTATTTTAGTGGTTGGATTGGGATGTTCTCTGGGGGCACGGGCTTTGGGATTTCGACCTATGGCCAAAAGGAATTGATGCGGAGTTCGACGGTTCCATTTTGGAAGACGAGATCTATAGGTCCTCCAGTAGAGAGGATAGAATAAGGGTACCATTTTTTTTCCGTAGTCTATTGTAGTAGGGGAACCCTCTCCCGAAAAATGGTAAAAGGGCACCTAGCTGGGGGACCTAGTGGATCTTAGACTAGATAATGGAATTGGGGGCCCTCTTCATGGTGAGGAGTTCGGACGGTGCGAATCCTCCAAAAGATTTCAGGGGACTGGCCCTGGCACCTGAGTGGGGGAGTGGTCCCAGTGGAGTTCAGTGGTTCGATTGGTTACTTATACTTTGGTGCATTCTGCTTGGATGTTAGGACTTTAACTTTTTGCCAACTAATGGGTTTTCCGAGTTAAACCACTAAAAGCTAGTCACTTGTAGCAGGGGAGCAGAAAGCAAGGGGAAATGGAATCACTGGGAACTTGGGGTTGCTCGGGGGTGTCATGAACAGAAAGGTTCTCTGCTCAGGAGAACGCGATGGCCCACGGACGAGTTTTGACCCTGCATATATGGCTTCCAGTGATTACATTTGCCCGAATCGTAGGTAACCAAGGGAACCCCTTTTAAAGAATGGGAGCATTGGTGTTTTTGTTTCGGCTGTTGGGATTGTTCAACATCTAATCCTTATGCCAGATGGTAGTGGTTTCCCTTTCGGTGGCGTTTGGGGTATGTCACTAATGCAACTTCTAGTCTGGGGGGGCTGATTAGCACAATCGTTCCCCCCCCCCCGCCCATAAGGGTGGCAGGGTCCAATTGAGAACCGCGTTGGGATGGGCGAACAGATTTTGGCATGCGGATGAATGTCCGTTTGAGTGCCGAAAACTCCACAATGTTGATCTCTGGTTTTCATGGGGTATGCTTCGAAATCTCGCAATCCAGCACTTATCCTAGACCCAAAAGCCGATGGGTTTTGGGCGCTGCTGATTACTTGAGTTTTTCACAACACCAATCTGAAAAGGGTTCCTCAAACAACACAAACCCATTTGTTTAAGAGGTTCGTCCATTTGGGTGTGTCTTTTTTGAGAGTTGGTACCCTTTACGGGATGGTAGAGGAACGCCTTGAATGGACAACACCCATGTTGCGGGGTGCCAAGTATATCTTATGATTTTCCAGTGTGCTAAATAGGAAACAGAGTCAGAACATATATGGGCGTGTCTCTTTTGTGGGTACTTTCTTTGTTTGAAAGGCAAACCATGAAAGGAAGACCGAAGACTTTTTGGGGTGTCCCCTTAGAAGCAGACACACCCCCGCAGTTCCTAGCCGTCCGGTTCCCTAGGTTTTGAGTGCTTTTTACTTGGTTTAGTCGTTGGGCTTCCATTCACCCACAAGTCCTTCACTTTTAGCAGGGGATCAGAGTTTGCGGACAACATGTTCCAACCCGTTTTGGTTTAGTCACCAAGGGATTTTTGTCCCCTTAATCAGAGTAATCGGCAGCCCCATATGGGGGTTCTCAGAATAGGAATGGGTTTCTCTGCTTGGCTGGCTTTAGGGAAACCAACTTCAGGAATCGGTCCCCAATTTTGAGAAACACCCATATTGCGCTAGATGTAAACGGAGAGCCCAATGTGTAACTCCTGGATCGATCCAGTTGCGATCTCTTTTTTTTCTCCATCCACTGTACCCCAAAAACCAGCAGGGACTGAAAAAGCAGCAACTTGGCTATCTAGGCTGTTTTGGTTTAGTCACCAAGGGAATGGTCCCAACAGACCCGTGCTGCTTGAGGAAGATCAGCCCCACACTGTGGATGGACAAAATCCTCAGCCGGCCCAGCCCCGGCAAAGAAATCGTCTGAGGAAGACCTCTGCCGCGGTGAGCGCCTTCTTCTGCGTGGGGGTCCAGATCTGCACCTGCGACTTGTTGCTGGAGGCGGTGATCGCGGAGCGCGTCCGGAAGAGCCCCGGCCAAGGCTCGCGCGCCTTTTTTTGACACCCGACGCGGCGGGTGTCGTTGGCTCGCCGCGTCTTTCTTGGTGGATCCTGGAAACTGAGCTGGTCTCAAACAAAACCGGACCTGAATGCCGTCTAAAGTGGGTGGTGTTCCGTCTAAACTTAAGCCCTGGAGCATGAAGCAGTCCCATTTCCCTGAACCCTTCAAACGCACAGAAAAAAAATGCCCAGTGCCTACAAGAGCCAGTGACTTGCCGACGTGCATGACCCCATGTCACCTCCAAACGTGGATCGATCGTTCAACAAGGGAAGTCCAGGCAGGCCCCTTTTTCTGTACACTTACCTCTTAAAAACACAACTTTTCAACTTGTTGGGTAACATGGGCTATATGTCTGTAAAAGATTAACTTCCCCAGGGCTTGGAGTTTTAAGGGGTAAGCACACCTTCACCTTCCGCCTTTTTTTTTTTTTTTCGATCCGCCGAATCGATTCGACGGATCCGAGGGATAGCGCACTCAGCGACAGGTCCAAGTCTCATGGCCTTTGCCAACGGGGGGCAGACTGCTGGAGAGGCCTTTGCCATCTTGACGGTGGGCTGGGCGCTGGAGCGCTATGGTCCCCATGGCCCCTGCCTGCTGGCAGCGCCGCGGCGAAAGCCATGACAAAACAAGTTGGAAACACGGAATACCTCATGTCATAAATATTTCCGGAGTCGTGTTCTGCAGGGTAGCCGTGGGGTAGTGTTTCTGTTGGCTCCCTATTGTGGCTCCCCTGTAAATTAACAGGGAACCCATACGGGAGTTCGGATTCCTCGAGCAATTAAGGATTTATTGGTTCAACCAGTTTTTGGACAATCAGGGCCAGTCTTCAACTTTTTGGGGGAAAGCAAGTCCGGATGTTTAACTTTTAGAGAAGATGAGGTTGGCAGTAAACAAAAGGCCAAGAACTCGTTCTCCCCAATCCACTCAAGCGAGTTCATGGTAAACAAGCAATGGATTGCAGAGGGTCGCCGCTCTCACTGACGACGCAAATGGGAGCTTCCGATTTTTTTGAGGCGCGCCTTTTTTGGTGAAACCCGTTTTGGTTGGTTTCAAAGGGAGACATCCAAAAAATGTCCACCGTTCTTGGGGTTCCCTTAGAAATTAAATTCCCGGAACACGGCGTGGTGTTCTTTGGCGCTCCCTTTACAGACCTTCCAGAAGCACCCCCGCAAATCATGGCCAGTCTTTGGTGCACCTTAGACCGTTCGCACATAAATGGCTTTCTCATCTGGGGTAGACTTAGGATACATTTTACATTGTACCAGTGGCTCAAATTAAAGCAAACAATAAGCTATACATTCCATATCTGGGCCCAACTCCAATCATGTCATTAAGCCTACCAAAGGTGATCGACCTTTTGCTCAGAAGAACAAAAAGCCACCCAGACATGTCTAGCTAGAGTCTCCTTCTGACCCTTAAAAATGGTTGGTCATGACCCCATTCTTTTGGGTAATGCCCAACCATCTTTTAAGGGTCAGAAGGAGACTCTAGGTAGCAAATGATTTTGCCTCGCCCGCGATGTTCGGCAGGTTCCACTGACCTTCCTGGCGTTGCTTGGTTGCACTATATCTGTTTATTTGTATAGCAGGCAACCAAGAAACCAGCTTGTTGAATCAAAAGGGAAAATGGATCGAAGGGTGACCTACTACAGAGAAGACTGGACTCACAGGTTTGATTTCATGTTTCGCCATGTTTACGCTTGTAACAATCAAGTTCTCCACCAGCGCTCACGTTCCGCTGTCCAACACCCCAAGTCCTGTCCAAAGAGCCTGCAACTGGAGGCTCAGCTCCCTCCCACCACCCCCTCCAGTGGCGGTCGAACGGTTTCTCAGGTTGGGGGGGGGGGTTTGATCAATCGTCCATCTCGGGCCCCAAAATGAGCATGGGTAACTTTCCCATATGGCGAAAGCCAGCGTTTTTGGGTGGTTTCCCTACTGATCCCGGGTAGAGGACCTTTTGATCAACTTTCATGTGACCTGCTTCAGGCTAAATACATACATATATATATATATAATATCAGCGCTCTAGGCGTGGATCATGGGGGGGGTGAGCATATACATATATATATATATATATATATACATTATACATATGTATATATATATATATATGTATAGTGTCCTGGCATCTGCAGGTTGGTCCCCGCCATGTGCAACTGGCTGGATGAGCCCTTGCGAGGGCCGGAAGAATCCCAGCAGCGCAGAAGGGCCTTCTTTTCATCCGGGGAGACAGGAGGAGACTTGGCTTTGGTTCCTCTGCTAGGTCCCCCAGTAGTGCCCCTGACCCCCTTGTTTGGTTGGGGGGGTTCCCCTACTAAAATAGACTACGGAAAAAGTTGGTACCCTTGTTCTAACCTCTCTACTGGAGGACCTAGTCTGGGATCTTTCAAGATTGTAAATGTCGAAGATATATTGGGGGCGAAGGTTAGCAGTAAACGTTCACGGGGGCGTCGCTTTGTTGCTTTTTCCTCGCAATTCAATCATCACTTCAGAGTCAATTTTACGTGAGTTTCCTTTGGATGTTTAAGGTGGAAACATAGGAGAGCTAAAAGACCTACTTCATCAGGGACGATCAGCAACTCTTTGGGAGTGTAGGCAAAGAGGACTTCTTTTAGTGCCATGCCCAACAACAGCTTGGCCAACCAACTTCCATTCCCTGCAGACATGCAACGAAGCCAGCCTTTGCAACCCAAGCAACAAATGGATCGAAGGGTCACCATGATCCGGGGCTTTGCCTGGGATCCACTGTGTCCGTCACTCAAAAGAGTTGCTGGACTGAAACAACTTTTAGGTTTGGACCATTTTGGGGGTGGCCAATCCGAACCCATTTTGGCGGTAAACAGACAGTTGGGACTTTTTCTGGCCAATCCACCCAGGAAGTTGCCTGAATCCAGCTGTTTCCCTTCAGGTTTCTACTCCGGGGTCTTTGGACAGTTCCACGTGCATGGGAATCTATTTGGCACGTGCTTCCGTTGTGTTTGATTTCCGGACAAAGGCAAGTATCAGTCTTCCCCATCAACTAGAACAGGGGTCCCTTCATTTCCCTTTGTTAGACTTCCCAAAGTTGCAGGCTAAATGGAAACCGCCAGTAAATTGCAACTTTTGAGTAGTGCAACTCCAGTGAGCCGTGATAGAGCTTGGGCGTTTTGAACGGAGAATGCATTAGGGTCTCCAAAGCTACGCCCCCCTGCAAGGTTCTCAGAAAATTTGGTCAAAACCCTCAGGAATTAGGGGGGGGGCTTAGGTTTCACGACTCAAAGGCATCTTCATTTTCCCAGACACCTTGTTTGGAGGGGGGTTCTCTTTAACATCAAATCCAAAACAAGAGCGCCCTTCTTCCCCATGGAAATCCACTGTGCGGGTCTGGGCGTTTGGTAGCTTGTGCTTTGTTACCAAGTTTCCAAACTGGGCATCAGAATGTCCAAAATGGGCACATCTCATTTTTTTGGCAAGTCCTTTTGGAGAATTTCCACAGACAGACCTAAGGCTCCAAGTGTTTTCTTGAGGTACTTTGACACATCTAAACTCTCACAAACCATCCTCAAAGGGTAGGATTCCGCTCCGGGGTCTCCAAATGTCATGTGGACGAATGGGAGGCTCGTCTTTAGCATTTGGAACCCCAAAGTAGCGCAACGATGGTCCTTTTGGTTTCCCTTCAAACCCCGCAACCAACTTGTAATTTTATTCAGACGTCAGAGCGCCGTGATTTGTTTTTTTTGAGTGAGCAGGCCTGTCAACCTCACCCAATTATGTTGTTCAGACATCACAAAGTACCCCTGTCCAAGAACTATTTTTATTCAGACGTCGCAACGTCGTCGTTTTGTTTTTTTGGAGTGAGCAGCAAATTCTCCAAGGAGAGATCCCATTCCTGGTGGCAGCCATGGGCTTGGGGTCCCTGGTGATCCTCTACGTGGCCACCAACACCGACGATTCCATTCGCGGCGACCCGCTGGACCTGACCGCGGCCACCTACCAGCTCAAGCTGCTGCTCGGCGCAGGACTAGCAAACGAAGCAAATAAACTAACGACCAAGCGAGCAAACAAACAACGAGCGAACAAACAAACAAGCACACAAACAAACAAGCAATCAAACGAACAATCAATCAAATAAACAAACAAATAAACAAACAAATTGCAAAGCAACACAAAAACAGAAATGAACAGACAAATAACTAATACATAAATAAACGAATGAACCCAAAAACAGGCGAACAAATGGTCGAACAAACAAGGGACCAGACAAAGGAACGAACAGGCGAACAACCAAGACAAAAAAATAACATAAAAACAACAACAGTATATCCAAGCGAGTCTACCTTTCGGAAGGGGTGATGAGTCATTGCAAGCCGGTCGTTTGACCTTGTGGTTTCAGAGTTTTGGTCCGGGGTTTGTGACAGTTTGTCGACGTGTCATTTTCAGGTCGTGAGATTTGTTGGGACAGGCAAGTGAGATTTGTTAGGAAATCACCCCTCTCAGGGACAACATTTAGGTCCCTCAAAAAGCTGCCGTGAGCCTTTGGGCACTGGGTTAAGTGCCCCTTCCCTTTTTGGAAACCCAAAATGACAAAATCAGTGGATACCCTTCAGAACATCAATCTGTCAAGTAGCCCTTAGTTGCTGGGTTGGACAGCCGGATGGGAGGCTGGGTTTATTGAGGTGCATATGTGCACCGCAAAAAAAAGTGGCAGACTGAAGAGGGCGCCTTAAAAGATACATTTTGCCCATTTGTAACATGGCTTTTTCAACACCAAAACAAAGAAATGGAAACCACCATTTGCAAGTTGCAATGTTCAGGTGTATAATGCATCCGGATCCCTGCTGAGGGACGCAGACACGACTCAGGATCTTACTGGTGGCTTTCGGCATTCTTGCCGCCTCTTTGTGCCTGCTGAACCCCACCATCGGCCTCATGAGCCTCAGCCAAGCGTTTGCGATTTGCGGTCACCGGATCGATCGGACCTTGGGGAAACGCCATGTGTAGTGAAGCCCGGCGCTTCCGATTTTCGCCAAAAGAATCCATGATGTAAAGCTTGGTAAGGATTTCCTGGACAAGGCTATAGTGGTTGACTGGAAGAGACTGGGCAACGGTTTAACCTTTTGGTTTTCCCCGTTTGGGCCATTCTTACAGGCTTCCCTCCATTTCCTTTCTTTCCTCCAAAGTGGCCATCCGTGTCAATGGAAACTACCAACCGTGTGAAGTTCAAGGGATTCCAGTGACCCCCTGTTTTAGTCGAGGTTCCAACAGGTGAACCTTTCATTTCGGGGCCCCAAACTGGGCAAGCTGGTTGTTGAGCGTTGGGTTGTTGACCTGTTGGGCTGCTGGGCGGTTGGGTCGTTGGGCAAGTTGGGCCAGTGAGGAACGCCTTCTTCGTGCTGCAGAGCACCTCCACCATCTCGGTGGACGGAGGCGAGAGCTGGATGCGATTCGCAAGACAGGATTCTAGTGCTAGCTTCAACAACGCAGGACGGTCAGTGGAACCTGCCGAACAGTCGCGGTCGAGGCAACATCATGTGCTGGACAGGTCTGGGTTCTAGTACTACCTTCCATTTCCATTCTTTCCATTTGTTCTCGAAAACCTGTGGAATCCCAGGGGAAACAACGATCGGTTTTTGAAAAGAACGATGGTTGAAAAGAATGGACGAGGAATCAACCCCTAGAACAATTCGTTATAAAACAACTCGAGCCCTCCGTTGCACCCTTCAACAAGCGTGGCATGTATCCAGCGGGGGGGGGGGGATTCGTGTCCTTTAGATCACTTTGCTTGAGACATTTGGATTCCACAGGTGTCAGTTTGGTTCGAGCGAATCTAAGCCACAGGCCTCTCAAAATTCTTCCAAAGCCGTGTACCAAGCAACGTTGCCTTGGTTGTCACCTGATCAGGTGACCCTTTCGTCTCTCAAAGACATTGAACCCAGTGCTTCCAGGCAAGCCACTCAAGCCACTATAGTCGAATCCAGGGAATTCCATCATGTAAAACCTGCTGAGGATCCCTGGCAAGCCTGTACTACAGTGGCTTGCCTGGAAAAACTGGGATATGTTGGGAAGGAGTTTGCTAAAGCGATGGAGAATTGTGCGCCATCGACTTTCACCGAACTGGCCCAGTAAAAAGTCTGGGTTGATTCTTTGTTTGGAGAATGAGGGCCCTTTGCTTCGTTTCGGCGTGTTTTTTTTCCCAAGGGCCACTGGGTCCAAGGAACCACAAGTCGGCGATGATACTTCTCACTTCCTGAGTTTATGGACTTTATAATTCTGAGAAGACCGCTTTGCTGGCAAACAAAGCGTTTGGACTTTGTTGGCCAACTTACTCAGGAAGTGAGCCATTGTTGATTCAGGACACTGTTGGAGACTTGTGGGGGGAGCAAGACCGGCATGCCCAAGGACTCATTAGATACGTTTCGGTGGCTTTTTGCTTGATTTCTTCCGAACAGGACAAGTTGGACCTTCAAACCCTTTAAAGTTAGAGACTTACGGCCATATGTTTAAGTTTGAACTACCTCCAACTTTCTTTCGGTCGGCCAACATCCCCCAAATTATTTCGTAGCCCGGCCGCCTTTTTGGCGAGCCAGCGAAGCCTTCCTGAGCCAGCGAAGCTTTTCGAAGCCGACGCGAAGCGAAGCCTCGAGGCGCCTTCTACTTCTTCACGGACGACAGCAGCTCCTACCCCATGGGCCCCCACTTCTCGGTGTGGTTCTACACCACGGGCCTGGGCATGGCCGCCAGCGCCTTCGGGATCTTCGGGCTGTGGCGCCTCGGCGCCCAGAAATGCCGGCCAGAAATGGAGCGAGAGATGGAAAAGCGAGATGAGATCGGGGGAGCGAATTTTTTAGCGTTTGGGGTTTATGGGAAAACACGGGCGCCAGAGGTGCTTTTTCCAAGGGGCCCTGCTTTGGGTGGTGGGGGGTTGGGTTCTCATTTGTGCTAGTTCATGGGGGACCACCTCAGTGATTGGTGGACATGAAGCCCCACCGAATTTGGATGTCCACCATTTCGGGTCCCTGATTTAAAACTCATCCCCATTTGAGAGCCTTATGTTTTTCCCCGAAGTAGGGACCCTGCTTTGGGTGGTTCCAAAGGGAAACGGAAGACCACCACCAGCTGAAAGATACCATGTGGAGGGTTGCGCCATCCAGAAATCGCACCACCGAAATCAGAAACCCTGATGTCTGCTTCGATTCAACGTGAAATGGCTGTGCCTCAAAAAAACGGTACCAAAATGGAACCCTGGTAAGTGGACACATGGGCCAAAACCTGCGTAACCCCTCCTGGTTAATTTTGAGCCACACCCAAATACCAACAAACGTTATGGGTTCAACCATGGCTTCCCAGTGGCGCGCAATGGATTTCGTCCATCAGTAGCTGTGTCTCTTCTCGGGTCAACCAGCCATCCGGGTCCAGAAAGGTGTTGAGGTTCTTCGTTGGTTTAGTGCTTGGGTTTCATTTAACCCGCAAGTTCAACTTTTAGCAGAAAATCTGAGGACAGCCCGGCTTTTGTACGATTTAGACCCCATCAAAATGGTGGTTTTCCTTTTGGCTTTGAACTTCAAAACCACAAAGAGTCCCTCAAAAAGAGCACCCCAAATATGTGTGTGTGTGTGTTTATTTTTCTGGAGTTGGTTCTGTTTTTGAGTTGGTGCTTTGGACACCAAGCATTTTTGGGGCCAGGTAGGCGCCATCGATGCATTTTGCTTTCAAAGGGTGGTTCTGAACTGGCTGAAATTGCACTGGGCCAAATTTAAGGGTAGAGGTCGAGGGTTTTCCAGAAATGCCTTGTTTAGTCAGGGGTTGGCTTCATATTGCGAAAACAATCGAAACCTTGGGGAATCATAGGCTTGGCAATCAAACAACAGTATCTCCATTGGAGTGTCCTTTGCGGGATGGAAGTTGTTGTCGTCGCCTTCTAAACGAAGTGGGGGAAGACTCGCGGGAATCTTCCAGGGACGTCCGTCCCTTGTTCGCTTGGGTCCAGTAGGTCTTTCGGCAAAAGATGGCATCCCCTCAGGATCAGGGTTCTGGGATCAAGGGGTTTTACCCCACTTCTGTGATACAAGGAAATCTCCCCCGCTATGTCGGGGGTTAGTGTTTGGGAAGCCCCTATTGTTGTATCACAGAAGTGGTCATTTCCCACAGCCTGCTCAGGATTTTCGGCGGCGCTTCCGAATCCGCAAGGAATTTAAGCGCCGTCTACTTTCCCCCTGGCTTCGGCGTAGAGCCACGGGTTCCGCACTTTAGGGTCTTTGAATCACGGGGTCCCAGGCTTCCTTCACGCCTCAGAGCGTTTGTACGAAGCCTTCCAGTGGATTAGTTCTAGGGCTTTCCAGCGCTATCACAGAAGTGGGCAATTACCACAGGATCACAGAAATGGGGCGTTGCTCACACAACTGCGTTACGTACACAAATCCAATGTCTGTTTGGGACACGGTCTCTTTTAGAAGCATGCACTCAATGACCAGCTATTAGTCCAGGTTTGTTCTTTTGTTTCAAGATACTGTAAAGATAGACGAGCATGAAACGTGAAACTATTGATTGACCGGCTAACACAGTTGGCGTCTTGCTGTCTTCAGGATCTACAATCGCTACATGAGTGACTGGACCTACCGCGGGCTTCTGATTATCTCCAACCTGCTGTGGAGTCTGGTCTCCTTGCTGAGTGTGCTGGAGTTCACACGCAGGACTCGAGTCGCATCGATCAATCCTTTGCTTCCTCCCAGGGCGATTTTGTCCCTACACGTCGGGTATCTCTCCTTTGATCTAGGGGAGACCTTAGTGAATCGACGTTTGAAGCTGGCTTTTCTTTGGTCCAATAGTCATCCCAAAGATGAAGCCTTTATTTCCAGATCCTGCGGGATGAGCTCATGCCCAGAATCCAACAAGGTGTCCCTTTCAGGGATGAGCTCATGCCCAGCATCCAACAGGGTGTCCTTCTTGGAACCTCCAAAAGTGGCAGTTTCAATGGAAAACTAATAAATTGCGACTCTTGAAGGGGCGATGCAGCGACTCATGTCCAATTTTGAACAGAACGCACTACCGACTGTGTTAGGGAGTATCGTACTGCTATGATTTATGCCCCACCTTGATTTTGGCCAGACCAAGGTCAATGGGTCAAGTCAATTGGATTTGCAACCCTGGTGCTTTGGCGAATGTTTTTGGGCACAGCACTCCCTGGTTTTGACATCACAAGGGTGCATACCATCGGCCTAGTAGATAACAACTAGGTTGCTCTTTGCCTAGACCATGCTTACATCGAAACATGAGAACATGCACTGGTGTCTTTTTCAGGGAACCCGCCCAAAAGAAGAAGAAGACGAAGAAGAAAAACAGCAAGAAGAAGAAGAAGAACAAGGACAAGAAGAAGACAAACAAGTGTTTTTTGGTTTCCTTTAAGCCCAGCCCAAAAGGGGTCAAACTCGCATCTTCCCCAAAAGATTTGAAGGAAAGCTCAGCTCGACTATCCCGGAAATCTGATCAAACTTGAGGCGGTTTCTTGACACGTGTATAGTAGCTGTCTTTTTCTTGTGTTGTTCGCTTGGTTGGAGCTTTTTGTCGCCGTTTGTCAAAAGGTCTTGGTTGCCCAGTGCAACTTCTGCGGTCAGCTAGATAGGGATCCCTGTGAAGAGTAAATAGGTTTGACCAGTTCGCTCGCAGGACTCGTTCTGTTTTTGCAAAACGAAACACAGCCGCATCCTAGTGTCACTGCTGTTGGCAATGTGGCATAGTTCTGTGGTTCTCTTTTTTTTAGCGGGTGGATGCAACGTGCTCACATGCCAAAGATTGAAAATCCAATGAGTTCGCTCGGTTGAATCGGCTCCGGCTGGGTTTCCGCTGGTTTTCCTAGAGTCATCCACAAAGGGATCCTCACTTGGTTTCCGCAAACCCCTCCCCGGGACACCAAATGGAGGTGGCCATGGCTCTTTGGCCCTCCACAGACTCAGAGCCCCATAGGAGATCCGATTCTCAAAGCTCCATGTGTCAACTTGGGCTTGGTTTTGAGTGGTTGAAACCAAAGGAACACGACGCACATGTTGCTTTGGTGCATTTTGCCAAGGGATGTTAGGACACTAACTTTTGTGCCAACTAATCGGTTTTTCCGAATCAAACCACTAACAGTTAAGCTTTTCGCAGGGGAGCAGCAAACGACCATGTTGGGGGCTACCCTGTGAGACCCCATACAAACTTTGTTTCGAGGAACCGGGACTTGTTGGGCATCCCGGACACCGCTTTCGTGCTCATCGCCACGGTGCTGCAGAGCATGGTGTCCCGCTGGGCCTACGTGCCCGGGGGGCTTCTGCTTTGCCAGGCGTTTTCTAGGGCCTCGGGGCTCGTGGGAAGTGACCACTCTAGGGCTGCCTTCCATTTCCATTCTGAACCCAGGCATCCGAATTTCTTTTCAGGAAACCACAAAAAACCCGGGGAAACAGCAGGTTTTTTCGAAAAGAGCGATGGTTGAAAAGAATGGGGAATCAACCCTTAGAACCACTGTGATACAACAGAAAGGGCTTCCTAAAGACTGTTTTGTTCACACACAGGGGGATACGCTTGTATCACAGAAGTGGCTTATTAAGCCAACCTTGATCCCACAACCTGGTCAGTGGTGTTCCCAGTCAAGCGGGTTCCAGCAAAGGGTTTCTGAGCGGACGATCATGTGTATCCCAAAGGAACCCCATTTGTTGGAACCTATTGAATGGGTGAATTGCCCAAGTGCAGCAAAGGAACACCAAAAGGGGGTGCCGAACAAACCAAAACACACACCCATTTGAGCCACGTGCTCAAAACCCGGGCAGATGAAGGTTAGTAAGGGGCAGTCCCAGCCGGAAGTAGTTGCGGAATTCCGCCTTTCTGATTCTTGAAGCATGGTTCCGGCTTCAAATTGTTGTGCCGATCGGTTTTGAGCAAGTGACTCATTTGGGGGTCACGACTTCCCATACCATCACCGCCTTTCGGATCCCTTGGTCGGTTCGTTCCCAGTCCCAGGGCTTGCGGGGAAACCATCCGTACAGTTTGGAGGTAAGGATCCTGAAGTCAGCTCGGGAAGCATCGGGTTAGTTTCACTCACTCACTCGTAAGTTCGCACGGATTGGGTGAGTTACAGATGGAGTGAAGTGGGCAAGCCTGGAGCGCCGCATGGCTCGTCCCGTGGTTCTGGAAGGTTTCCGGGCTTGGGATAGCTGGGCATATCCCTATGGTTTGTCTTTTAAGGTCGGACCTCCCCCAAAAAGGGCGGTTCCCATTTGGCTTCCCTTTACACCCAACCCAAAAAGTACTTCCCAACTCCAAAACAAAGGGCACACGAGCCACCCCGAATGGGACAAGTTTTCGCTGCGAAGGTGCCGACTCCGAGAAATAAGGGACGAGCCACATGAGCCACCCGCAAACCCAAGGGCAAGTCATACTAGGTCCCCCAGTAGTGCCCTTTTTCACCCCCTTTTTTGGTTGGGAGGGTTCCCCTACTGAAATCGACTAGAGAAGCAAGTTGGGTACCTGTATATTCTAACCTCTCTACTGGAGGAGCTAGAGAACATTTTTCGATTTCCCCCGGTTGGTTTTAAAGGGAACCTATCACTGGCAATATCGCTCCTTTTTTTCCAGGGGGCTTGGGGTCATAGCTGTGAGCGGCGAAGCCAAGAGAAGCCGTAGCCCTAAAAATTGGGTTCCCTGCTTCTAACCTCTACTGGAGCCACCCATCAAAGCATTGCGAAGCTCCAAAGTGCGCCGGTAGGTCTGCCCGGAGGGCTTGGAGAGTACCATGTTCGCGCTGCTGGGTGGGTGCCACAATCTGGGCCGTGCCGTTGCCTCCATCCTCGGGACCGGGTGCCGGGTGCAGAGAAAATGTAGGGATTGATTCCTGTTCCAATCCTATCAACCATCTTTTTTTTTGTATCAAATAACCGGATCCAGCTGTTTTTTTCCAGGGTTTTGGGTGGTTTTGTAGAAAGAAGGATGCCTGGGTTCAGAATGGGGAAGGTACCCCTAGACAAATGAGGAACTCGCTTCCTGGGGTCATGGGAACTTTAGTCGCTGTTTGGGGTTGGTTGCCATTTTGGTGGTAAACATAAAGTTTAGTGTTTGTTGCTCTTGCCCCAGAAGCCAATAGCCACACCGCTAGCTTTTTTGAGAAAGGACCGAACCGCCATGGTTGGTGATTAAGATGTGTAGATGTAACGCCCATATCAGTTTTACTGTCCTATTGCTCTGATATAAGGGTGCTAGGGGATGGTCATCAACCTCTTGAGGTATTTGGGTGTTGATCAGTATTCTTGGCCCCCAAATGACTATGCAGTTATGGGTGACTTTTCCCATTTAGCTGAAATATCATCAATGGTCATCCCATGAAAAGGACCTTTTGATCAACTCCCATTTAAATAACCATTGTAAGGGTTTCTATAATATCAAGCGAGCCATTCCATGACCATGACGCAAAAATAATGCCTCCGACTGCGTTTGTGGGCGGTGTCGTTGGGGGTTTGTCTTTTTTGATGTCTCGGAAGGTGTGGAAAGAATGCTTCTTTCACCATCTTTCCAAGAATCATTGGAAGTGGACACAGAGGACTTCAAAGACAAAACTCCTCTTAACTCCTTGCCTGACAGGGAGTCCCTTCAAAGGAACATGGTCCAAACCAGGACCCGCCGAACGTTGAAATGGGAGAGTAAGTAGACTCGTCCTATTACTAGGACCACCCCCTCCCAAACGCAGGGACACCCCATCAGGTCTGATTCCCCACTCAACCCAGGGCACCCCCCAATAATAAACTGGCATGGTTTGTTGTTGGGACACAGTTTACATTTTTGCTTATTGTGGTTTAGTGGTGGAAATCCAATCACTTAACTGCTAAAATTTGAGAATTATTGCTCCCCTTCCAACGTCAACCAAGCTGGGGTCTGCTCCTGGCAGCACCCCATATGAAAAATAAACAGGTTGATTCATATGGGGTACCCAGTTCCAGACACCTCAGACACCGGCGCGGATCCTGGCAGGACTTACCTCTTGGCCTTCTTGGGCGTTGAGCCGGACGGCACGCAGCACGACCGCCACTGCTTCGACCGCCTCTGGATGGCAGCGGTGCTACAGGCCCTGGCGCCCCTGGTCACGCTGTGCTTGATCCCCCGGATGAGTCTTGGAAGGGACTTATGTGTCCAAATAACAAAAGCCCATTTGTGTGTGTGTCTGTGTGTGTGTGTGTGTTTAATATGGTAGTCCTTCATTCCCTTAAAACCGCACCCTGAATAGAAAAACACACACACACACACACTTGCTGAGTTGCCGACTTTCTGCTCCGACTTCTTGTGTGAGAAACTGTTGGAAAGCACGCGCTGTTTCCGGGAAAATTGTTTCAAAGGTTTAGCAGCGATTTTGGTAGAACCAAAAGTCAATGGGTTTTCGGAACTTTGCATGGGGGTTCGGGACCAAAGGCAGGGTGTTGATAATGTTCTTTGACAAGCCTTTGGTTTTGATCCAAATGGTTCGACGTTTGGGCATGGTGGCTTCACTTTTCGTGCATTTTGCCAATAACTAATGTCCTGCCTTTAGATTTGGGTGCCTTTATAGAACGTTTTGTTCCCAAGTCAAAAATCCCATGACTGCGTCGGGCTTGCTTTGGTAGAACTGTTGTTTCCGAAAAAGAAAAAAACAACAGGGAAAAAGAAAAAACAAGAAACAACATAATAAGCAAAAGGGACAACAAAGGAAAAGAAGCAGGAAAAAAACACAAACACCAAAGGAACAAAAACAAGAAACTCCCTCAAAGAGCAAAGCAACCAAACAGAAAACAAACGATTTCAAGACCCAAAGCGTGGGAAAACCGTCTAGGCTGATCTTCTCCCAGGCTCAGAGCTCAAAAGCGGCGAAGGCGCTGAGGTTTTTTGGCAGCTCTGTAGAATGGTGCTCAGTGTTTGGCTGTGGTTGTCGAAAATTGGTGGCCAACATGTGTGGGTCAAAAATGGGGTAACCCGAAAATGGGTTGCCCTGGTAAATGGAGACATGGACTACCTGCGTTTGTTTTTTGCGGTTTAAGTTTGACCCCAAATTCGTTTGAGTACTGGGAATCTGAGAGTAAGTCTTGGCAGTACTAAACAAATGTAGAATTGGCAACACGAAAATCAGTATGGGCAAGTCCAAGTCCAACCCAGAGCCCCCCTTGACCCTCTAAAGAGGCCCCAGATGATGTTTGGCACTGTTCCGGCGAATGGGGGGGGGGGGGTTCATATCAAAGCAGACCGAACACTGTGTCCCCCGCCCCCAAATGGTTCTGAAAGGGAAGTTGCCGTGACCTGTAAATACCTCAAGTGATGAGTCTTCAACAAATGGAAGCAGGAGATTCGATTCAACATATCATCTGAAATGGCCTGACCTGGGTTTTTCGCTTGCTCTCTTTTGGAATTAACCAAACGCCTGCAACCTTTGGAAAACAACGAGCATGTTCTCCACTCCCAACATGGATTCATGGGTCCAGTTTGGCTGAGATGGATTGTTCCCTCGGACCAATGTTGTTTGAAAGTTCCTCCACAAATATTAGGATAGACTGATAGACTGAATATGGAACAGAGTCACATTTTTTGTTTTCACCCCAAGTTTCCTAGGGTCTCAGCCGAGGATCCCAGATGCTTCTCAGACAGACCCGTTGCGCCTCTCAGGCCAGTGGTGGCCTTGGCTTGTACTTGGGGCTACCCCCTACTCCAAATACCCCCCCGTTCTTTCCTTTTTGAAGGGTATATTTCGAAGAACCAAAAACCTGGCTTTCTATGGTTAACACCTCCGTTTTTCAGGGTATCTTTCGAAGAACTCCACTTTTTTTTGGGGGTGTATGGGTATGAGTCAAAAAATACACTTTAGTCCTTGGCTTCATTTACCGGGGTTCCATTTTGCGTACGCATATTTGACCCACAGGCATATTTCTATGGCAACCACCTCCTGTTTCAGGAGTCCTGAAACCAAGTGGGTATTGTATGCAGGCCAAAAAGAAACATGACGAAGGCCGTCTTGGTTTTCGTCACGGCAGCCACAGAAAAAGGCGTCAGACACCCAATCGAGGCGATCCTCGGAGTCCCAGCCCTTTGGAGGGGGCAGCCCGGGCCCTTCTCCGATACAAAGGGAACGCGGGCTTGAGCCTACCTGGAGTCTCCTTCTGACCCTTTAAAAATGGTTGGTCATTGCCCAAAATAAAGGGGTCATGAACCCATTCTTAAAGGGTCAGAAGGAGACGCCAGGTACGTTTTTCAAGTTGGGAGGGCATGGCCTTCCAGAAGTCGGGGTCCGTTTTTTCTTTTTGTGGCTATGGGGAAGCCCAGAAATGAGGTCAGGGTCAAAGCAAGTCCACACCCGTGTCGAAACGGGGCGGCTCCTTCGAAGCCCCTGATTTCTATATGGTAAACATGGGTTTTGGTAGAGACTTTTTCCATCATACCCTGAAAGTTTACACGTTTTTCTAAAGGGCTGGGCCTTCGCTTCTTTCTCGGGCCGCCGGTCAGGCGGCCCGGTGGCCGGCACCGGCGGCATGGAAGACAGCGACCCGAAGCTCAGCATCTCTATGGCTACGAGGGGCTCACTTTGGCGTAGCTTCATCTCAGGAGGCGAAACGAAACGTTCGGACCATTTCGTTCGGATCCGTGTCGCATGCGACCGTGAAATAGGTATGGGCCGGGAAAACTGGCCGGGACAGAAACTAGGCCCCCTGCTAGATGCCCTTTCTCACCCCTTTTTTGGTTGGGAGGGTTCCCCTACAAAAATAGACTAACAAGAAACAAGTTGGTACCCTTATTCTAACCTCTCTCTACTGGAGGACCTAGGAAATGGTGCGGACCAGTTCGTTCGGATCCGCATTCGCCGTTGCGGCCGTGAAATAGGGATGAAGTGGACAGAAACCAGGCCATGGGGGGTAAGCTGACATTTATGGACAGGTTTACCGGTTTTTGGAAAAATCTGACATTTACGACTCAGGGCCTGTAGACAAGTTTTGGGGAAGGGAAAGAGGTTCGCCAGCAAAGACAAGCGGCTGGTTTTCTTGTTCCCAGGCCCCCCCCCCCCCCCGGAGCTCGTTAAGTTGGATCACACTACCCAAGCTACAGTCAAATCATGGAGCCCAAACTCCTATGGCCAAATGAATTTCCAAGAGTTCTGAAGAATTACGTGATGTCCTTTCATACTTTTGGTCTGCAATCTTGTATAGATCCAGTTACCAGCATAAGTCACCTGCCATTCTCCTTTTGAGGTTGAAAGGGTGGTTCCCTTGGTTACTATACAGGCGCATGGATCTGGGATTTTTGTTCTTCAAAGGGAGGGTGACTCCATGACTGGCCTAATCGCCCCAAAAGGAGCTTTTGGACACAAACGGGTTCGTCTTTTTTGGAGTTGGTACCGTACCCCTTTAAACTGACAGGACACCAAACAGAAGACCGAAGCCATTTGGGGGGCCCCCTCAAAAAGACATCGACAGACCCAAACAGCTTTTCCATGAAACCCACAGGTGATCCACCTTTTGCTCAGTGCGAAACCCAGATTCCAGGTGTCGAGCAGGCCGGTTCGAGTGGCGCTTCCCCCGGAAGCGGGGGACCGGCAGCACGGATGGCGACTTATGGGACCCAGGCTGGGCGGGTTGGAGTCCGACCCCCCCAAAAATGGCTTAACGTGTTTTTTCTTCTTTTCGTTTGGTGTCCCTTCAAAACCAACCAAAAAGGGGAACCTCACCAACAACAGACAGACCCATATATGTCATGGAATATACCCAGGGTTACGTCGGCACAGCCTCAGTACCTCAGATGACGTCAGAGCCCTTCAAGAGCTCTTACCTTCAAGACATGTGTGCCATGAAGCCAAATGTTCTTTGACTTGGGGTCCCAGACAGTCCATGTCAATGTATACCCATATCTATCAAACCAAGTTGTTTCAGACAACAAATGCCAAAAACAATATCCACATCTACCCTCAAAATGGGTCAAACGTTGGTATTGTTTGGCCCTCAGGGATTCTTGGCAATTGTAAGGATCCCTTTTTCAGGCACCCACGATCATGGCCAAGGCATTTTGACCGTTGTGTTTGCGTTGAGGGCCCAGCCGCCTCTTTTGAGCCTTAAGATGCGGACGGAAATCCATTTCGCCGCTAAGAAACCTTGGAATGAGTCCATTCTTCATTTTCCCGTAGCTTCAAATTGCAGGTTTTCGCGGCTGGATTCATGCAGCCCATGGATCGCCAGGCCGACAGCACTGGTGGCAGCAGGCCGTTTTTTGGGGTGGTTTTTTGTTGACCAGTTTTGTTTTTTTAATAGTGGGGTGTCAAAATCGGGAACCCGAAAATGGGCGGTTTCCCTCGAGTTCCGTCTACGCTGTTGTTGGATCACGTTTTGAGATTTTTGGTTTGTTGGTTCTGCTCATTTCTTTGGTGGGGCTGCACAAAACAATCTATTTTTTTCGCAAGCCCGTTCCCTTGGGTTTGTAAAGTACCACAAGGATAATCGCCCATTTTTATGGGTTGGTTTCCCTTTGCGACAAAAAGCTTTTGGGGGTTCCGCCAGTTTGAGAGATTCTCCCAGGGTGAACTTCGCAAAACGGAAGGCTGCCTTTTCAGACCTGTTGAACGGGTTCTAAATGGGTTCCGATCGAATGAATTCCGTGTGGAACCTGCGAAAGGTTAAGAACTGCTACCTAAATATTGCAACCATTAGTAATGTCCTACCTGCGAATACGTGCAACCTGAATGAACTACGCTAAGTTAAGAACACGTATTCCTCACCTTTGACCCATGTTTCCGGAAAAAGCACCAACAAACAAAAACAATACTGATAATCATAGTCATAATAGTAGTAATAATAATAATAATAATAATAATAATAATAATAATAATAATCTATTAATAATTATAATGATGATGATAATAATAATAATAATAATAATAATAATAATAATAATAATAATAATAATAATAATAATAATCTATTAATAATTATAGTAATAATCTATTAATAATTATAATAATAATAATAATCATAATAATAATAATAATAAAGCAAAGAAAAACAACTAGTAATAATAATAATAATAAGACAATAACACATGATTATACTAATAATAGCAAAACTATGCTTGAAGAAAACTCGGCACGTTTTGAGCTGTTTTGAAGCCAACGACCCGGCTCGCGGCACACCACAGCTTGTTCCTGCAAAATGCTTCAATAATTAGGTTGATCCCCCCAGCTGTGAAACCCCATTAAGTGGGAGTTGCCGGACCCTGATTGGACCATTATATGTTTTGTTGATTGTTTGTTTGTTTTTTCCTAGAGGGGGTCAACTGGCCAACCCTGCGTAGAACAGGATTCCAAAGACGGTTTCAATACATTTTTTGGAGGTTTAAGCGCATGTTTCAAGGGGGAATCTCTCAAAAACATGTAGTTTGCCCCAAGAATTGACATTTCATGGCATGTCAGTTTCCTTCACTGCTGTTCCAAGGCAACCCATGCTGACCTTGGGTGACCTTTTGCGACCCTTTAGTGGCTTGCCAATGGTCATTGGTTGGCTCACCCCAAGTCGGCCTGAGAAACCTGTCGGCCTTTGGTTCAAAACGATCGGTCACTCGGACACCAACCTGAAGAATCACCATGTTCATGCGTGTGTTAGGTAAAATCGGTGTGTGTCCGCCTGAAAATGGCGCACCGGTTTTTCCTTTAGTTGCCCGAGGCCCCAAGAAGTGTAGCAATAAGATGCTCATGTCCTTTGTCACAGATTCCTGGTTCCCAGCCATCCGGTTGCTTAGCTTCTCAGCTTTTTAGTATTTAGTGGATGGATTTCCACCCCACCCCCACCACCCCACCCACCCCCACCCCCACCCCACCCCCACCACCCCACCCACCCCCACCCCCACCCCACCCACCACCCACCCACCAACCCACCCACTATTTTACCCACTAAAAGTCGGACCTTGAGCAGGGGATGCTGAGGACAGATCGGATGCGTTCTTCTCATTTCGGCCGCAGGCTGGCGGCGTTCTACCAGCGAAAGTCTGTGAGAGGACGGGCTGTGCAAACCTTTCGGATTGTTCAAGAAGGCTCCACTGGTTTTCACGTGAACACCCGGCTCATACGGCATGTGGGTGTGTCTTTCTGTAGCCCCCCCCAAAAAAAAAGCAAGAAGGTGTTTTTTTCCTTTTGCCTTGAAGCCACCAAACAGCACCGGACTGCACTCGTGCGGATTTTTTTTCCACCAGGCGGTTCTGGAGTGGTTCGGAGGTTTGGCTGGGGTTCGGTTCCGGAAGTGCAAAGGCTGGGGATTCCTGGGCTGAACTTGGTTGGCAGCCCCGAGGGGTTTCAAGGCAACCAAAACGAAACCAAGCATTTGGCGGGGGAGCTTGACACACATGTATAATATGTATATATATATATATGTATATACGATTTGCGAACCAGTAAAAATGGCTTTGGCTTTCCTTTGGGAACCCTCAAAGAAGATGCACCCGCTTTTGAGTTAAGGATGACACACCGTATGCCCATCCCCTTAGGTTTTTAGGTGTTTAAGGTTTGGGGTTTCCATTTAGACCACAACAGTCAAACTCTTAGCAGGGGATCTGAGGCGAATTAACACAGCAACACTTAGGTGTGTCTTTGTGTTTTGGACTTTTGGACCCCCAGAATTGTCGTTTTCCTTTGGGTTCCCTTTAAAACCAACAAACAGGTACCCTTAAGAAAAGACACCCCCATTTGATGAAAGTCCCGAAGTTCGCCAAGTCCACTTTGGACTTACCCTAGCTCCGAGCCCTTCATAGGGTGGGTGTTTTTTTTTTGGGGGGGTGGGGGGTGGGGGGTGGGGGGTGGGGGGTGGGGGGGGGGGGGTTTTCTTTTGGTGTCCCTTTCAAGCCACACAACAAAGGTGACTCGAAAGCAAAACAAACAACATCTTTAGTCAGAGGGGGTTCTGGGGGGTGCCCGCCAAAAGTTGAGGGGGTTTTGTTGGTCGCCTTTTTTTCTGTGACGAACCCCGAAAAGCAATCGGGAGACGGAAGCGGAAGGCGGACGGTTCCAAGCTTCTTGTGCCGTGGCAGGACCCGACCTGCTCTCCATGACTCACTGGTTGCAATGAGGGTGAATTCGACAGAGGTGGCATCGCAATCGAAACAATCAGGCCCCTTAGCATTGATACGGGTTTCTTTCGGGTGGATCAAACATCTTGTTGAAGTGCAAGCGCGCTGCACAAGTTGTTTCTCCTTGGAGGTTTACCTTATTGGATTCTTTTTGGATGACTCAACAAAATGCACATCAGGTGCGTGTTTCTTGCCCCGCGCTTTCTGATCCAGCACTCTGCGATCGGCGATGCGACCTCGATTTCGGGAGCACAGCTGCTCCTGGGGGATTGTGCTTGGGATGATCGGTGAAAGAGTCGCGCGAGTCGGCGGCATCGGGCATGTTATGTGTGCTGCACCGGTGCTTCCAGGCGTTTTGCGACTGCAGGTAACCCTTCGGATCCTTACCTCTTGGTTTTGCATGATGGTTCCTCCTAGTTACCTACGAAAGCTGCTATAGTGGCTAGTGGAAGCGCTGGGTGTGTTGTGCTTGGAGTCTGCAATGTTGACCCGGATCAATAAACTGCTTCTATGTATAGGGGCGTTTCTCCTTCAAAAGTGATGAAGCTACACTAACAGGAGACATCCTGCGTCGCAAAGAGCAAGTTCTTCGGTACGCTGCGCATGCATCATGTGCAGATCGAATTGCAGCATGTACCTCGAGGTCTGAAGGTTCCTTGCAGTCCCAAAATGAAAGGGTGACTACCTCCCCCTTCAAACATAACCCATGGGGCTATGTCTTCCTACTGGACCCTCCGGATGCGGCCGGCTTTCTTTTGGTTTGTTGCAAAACCAACCCAACATGGGCAAGCCCCCCAAATCCAACGCATTGCATGGTAGGATCATGTGGTCCCCCGAGTCCAGACCGCCCCGACCGCGTTACTTTATTTGGGTTGGTGGGCAAAAGCCGGCAAAAGCTGAGGAGAAAAAGTTAGCTTCCAGTTGCTTGCCCTTGAGAAGCCAAGTCACCAAAGCAGGCCAACCCCTATGGGGGATTCGCGACCGCTCATTGGGTGAAGTGGCGAGATCGCTTGGTCTGCATAATTCATGGCGAGCTCACCGATTCGGGGGTAAAACGAGCTCATGATAAATATTTTTGGGGATCCAATTCTTAACTCAACTTTTGGAATTATTCCGTACAAAACGGCAGAGAGCATCGCCACGCATTAAAATTTAAGGATAATTCCGACCTTAGATTCAAGATTGGTTCAATCCCCTGGATCGGAATTGTGACTTTCACTCTGGCAACTTTCTCACCTCAGCCTTGGCCCAGAGCTCCTTATGGCCACTTTCGCTTGACCGTGGGCGCCTCAGTGTCCGTTCAAAGCCAAAGCGAAATGGGTAGATGAAGGTTAGTGGGAGAGTCGTAAACAGAAGTAGATGTGCTTTTCTGTGGGTTGATTCCCCAGTCGCTTCATCCCCTTCTCCAGTTTGGCCTATGTGTTGAAAAAAAGGACCCCTGAAGAGAAGCAAGGGGTTTTCCCTGTTACTGGGGTCAAACCTATTTTAAATTCAATCACACTTAATCAGAACCAGATAATTCATACTGTTTGCAGTCCGGATCTGAGTGGCTCGTCTGTTTTGGGGAACCTTTTTTTGTCCGGGGGAAACCAAAAGGACCGCTATCATTAGGTTGGATCGCATTTAAGACGAGCCACGCACGCTGTTGCCCAGTGGATTCTGCCTTTTTTTCACAATTTTTTGGGGAAGGGTTGTGATTCCTTTAACCTCAACCACAAAAATCGGATGCGGGATGCCGATTCTTTTTTTCCCCTTTAAACTCAACCAAACAAATCGCATGCCGATGCCGAGTCCTTTTTTCCCTATGGCAATCCACTGGTTGCATCCTAGGTCCCCCAGTAGTGGCCTTTCTCACCCCTTTTTGGGTTGGCAGGATTCCCCAACTAAAATAGACTACAGAAAAAGTTAGGTAGCCTAGTTTAATTATTCTTGGTGGCTCCCAGCCATCCCCTTAGTTTTTTAGCTTTTTAGCTTTTTAGCTTTTTAGTGTTTAGTGGGGTTTTCCATTTTGCCCACTAAAAGTTAGTCACTCTTAGCGGGGGATCTGAAAACGGACAGCTCAGTATTCGAACCTCTCTACTGGACCTAGTCATCTGAGCACCCCGCCGGGCCCCGCTCGCTTCGCTCGCTTCGCTCGCTCGCTCAGCGAAGGTCATGGCCAGCCCGAAGGCCAGGCAGGCAGCCAGCATTTTGGCCGGGCACTGAGCCCGAAAGCGCCGAAATCGGAGGGATGGGTTCGGCGGATGCGGAGGATTCGGAGGATTCGGCGTCGGGTTTTGGTGAGGATTCGGCGTTGGGTCGAGGGACCTCTTTAAAGAGGTGAGCCTGGCTTTTTTCGGGGACCCCAAGAGGGGACAATTCCAAGCGGTGCGGCGTCGGCGGTTCCGGCGTTTCGGGTTTCGGGGATCTCTTTGAAGAGATGAGCCAATTTTGGGCTCTGGATGGGTTTGGGGCGGTTTTTTCTCGTGGATTTCAAGAGGGGAGGTTTTTTCGGGGAGTCCAAGAGGGGACACCCCCAAGCGGTTTGGATTGGTTTGATAGGTAAGTGGGGGTTTCTGCCTCCCCAGCCTCTGATAATTGAAAGCATTTGGAGGGGAGCTGATTGGCATTTGAAGGGCAACGGAAGGAAACCAACTGTTTTTCTGGCCTCAATTTTGAGAAAGCAGATGTCCTTCCAACCCATTTGGCTTCAAACGGAAGCGGGCGGCAAACCCCCAAAAGTTTAACTTTTTGCAGGGTCTGACTGGCCCAGATATTGTTGATAACTGGGACTGTGGGGGGTTTTGACCAAGAATGCCAGCTTGTCCTGTGCTTCCCAGTTGGCGTTTTGCCACTTTTGTAGGTAACGATTCACGACACAGAAGGCAGCAAGGTCGTGTCCAGCGAGGTCATGGGATTTGCCTAACCCTAGTGCTTCCGAGTGTTGCGCTTCGCCACTTAGGCTTGCGACCAGGGGCAACCATCTCATGGAACACCCGTAAGGATCCCGAGGGGTTACCCACTATTGTGGCGAGACGCCCGGAAGCGCTTCCTTCGGTTTCTGGAAGATTCGGCGATCAGGGGCGATGTTCCTTAATTTTTGCTGGCAGCCAACAGGCCTGTTCAGGGATGGAGACTAAGACACCTTATGTTCTTGGTGGTTCCCAGGCAGCCCCAAAGGTGTTTACGCTTGTCGGGTTTCGTGGGGGGTTTTCTTTTGACCCACCAAAGGTTAACTTTCGGCAGCGGACCTCAGGACAGCCCAGGTTAGCAACCGAACATAGAATCAAAGAAGTAGGTTGGGGAAGGAGTTGGGAGCTGGGAAGCAAAGGGATGACTACGGATTTGCCCCATCCCCGCTACCCAGTCCCTTCTTTGATGGCTCACCAGGACAACGCATCACTACGAACCTCACTTCACACAAATAATGCTTTCTGCGTCGCGAGTAGCTGTTTGATCAAATCACTCAGCTCTGTACCCTTTTGGGTGGCTTCCACTTGCCCTCCCAAGAGAAATTGGCCCATGCCACGACATTCAGCCATTGTGTAGTACCGGGTTTTGCGGTTTGGGGGTAGTTGAATCCTGTTTTTGTTTTTGTTTTCCTTGCCTAAGGGTGATTTTCACATACTTCCGGTGTTTTTGTTTGGGTTTCTCAAGATCGGTCCACTTACAACCCCAGACAATCCATGTAGGTAATAGAACCAAAAGTTGACCAATGAGGGTAAATGTGGGCATACGTTACCATGGATTGTCTGGGACGTACCAGGTCTTGTCTCAACAAGCTCTGGAGTTCAGTCCTTCCTGAGGCGGGCAATCTGCAGCAAGATATCGCCACGCTGAGACAGGAATTAGCACCTCGGCCCATGACAGTTGCCGAGAAAAGCAATCGCGAGCTCACCTGGAACGGATAGGACGAGCACACGATAAAGGTCCTAAATTTGGGGATCCCTGAATTCAGCTTGAATCATAGTTTAAAAAAATGCAGATGGGATGCCGGGATCTCTTGTGTCAAACTTGCCTCAGCAAGCGAATCGACCAGATCCGACCTTTTAGTTGCGCCTTGCCCCTTGATGCATCTGTAAGGGCCCTAACAGGCGGTTGTAGACTTGTTTGGGAGGTTGCCAAAATGGCTCTTTTCCGTTGGATGTCAATTGAAAACCACAAACAAATGGGTTCCCCCAAAAGAGAGACACAGGTTCGGGTCCCTAACTAGCAACTGAGTTGGGATTTGGGCCCAACAAATATGGTCGTGCGCAGCGGTCTTCCTTGTCGTTTTTCCTAAACCACAAAAGAAAGGGTACCCTCACACAAAAGACACATGTGGTGGTGTTCCTTTTGGCTTCCTGTAAAAAACACACGCACAAACAAAAGAAGCAAGGCTGCCCTCAAAGGCACACGGTCGGAGTGTGCAATTTTTAGGGCTTCCTTTTTGGGGTTGCACCACCACATTTGGGTTCAAAGCCCCTATTTGACACACATAGAGTCACAGGTCAGAATCAATAGAAGTTCTTGTTGAGCGCAATCTGAGGTAGCTTTTATTTGGGACCCGAATCGGTGGACATCAGACTTCGGGGATTTTGACGACAGGGTCCCGTAGGGAACCCCAAAATGGCGGTTTTCCTTTTTGCTTTCCTTTAAAACCAGGTGCCCCAAAAAAAGAAACACCATGGAATCGGTTGCCTTCGGTTTCCATTTCAGCCGTCCAACTCTGCCGTGCTATCCCTGGAATCGACTTCTGGGTCCACCTCCGAGGATCGAAAACATGTCCGATTGGAGAAGCTGATTCGGAGCAGTGCGCAGCAGGCGGAGGGAAAAGGGGATGTGACTCACACTCCCTTACCTTCGTTTCAGACTGTATACTTGGGTTTAGATTATTCTAGTGGGAAATCAAAAACACGCTCAGACTTGTTTGGACTTATCCACGGAAGTGAGGTTACCTGCAGCATTTTCACCAAACCGGCTGAAAACACCGTATGAGTGAGTAGAGAGGTTCCCTCTTTCATTTCAATGGGGAACTTTTCACACATGTTTGCTGCGCGTACCTGGAAGATCATTTTCCTCTTGGAGGGGTGCCGTGTGAGTGGAAGGAAGGATATCCATTAAAGGGTCCCCGATTAAATTTCACCAAATGGAGACAGCTTTGTGCTTTATTTCACCAGTCAAATCATTTGAGCCGCCAGGGTGATTTCCGTTTGCCCAGAGGCATGTACCTTCCGACCTGGGAGAATCCCTGGGCAGCCAGATGTGTCCATACTCAGAGGCATGCAAACTGGTGGGTCCTTTTTGAGACTGCTTGTTGTTGTTGGTTTGAAAGGGACACCGCAAGGAAAACCACCTTTTTCCGATTTGTTTTTGGGGGGGGCAAACATGTGACACACCCAAATAGGTCATATCCATGGGCCTTGCATTTGGTGTTCTTGGCCAGAAAGAAAGCAAGATTGCACCCATCAGGGAGGGGGACTTGTCAAAGGTCTACTTATTTCCAGGTCCCCAGGACAAGCAAGCCCTTGATGAATATAATTCCGTTTGATTTAGGATGTCTGGATTAGCCTTTAATTGGATCACTTGTGGGTTGAGCCCTCCCATGGTCGACTTGAATCCAGGGTCTTGGCCCATAAATAGATCAACGCCTCATCCTTGTATTTGGAGGGGCATGAATGGGTGCGGAAATCTCTGCCCTTTCGATTCTTTACCACAAGTTGTGGGTGGACTTGTGGCCGGGTTCCAGAATTCTGGTTGCCAAGTGAGTTCTTGGAGAGTCCCACACCTTTGCCATGTGTGGCAATGGGTTTTAGCTGGATCCTGGTCCCCTTCAAGGGACACCCACCAAAAAAGACTTTGAGCCCGGTTCCTGGGGGAAACAGATCTTCCAGGTACCCTTCCATGGTGCCAGGGCAATGTGTGAAGGGAATGTGAAGATCCCGTATGCTTGGTTTCCTGGTGGCTTTCCTTATGCATACCGACAGGAGTTTACCATGTTGAGAAGCTCCCACCAAAAAATAAATCTTAAACTTCTTAAACGTGCATTTGATTCTTTGAGGTATCGCCCCCAAGACGCGGTGCAAAAGAAGAGCCGGAGAGAAAGCAACGCTCTCATTGCTCGACCCTCTCGCTTAAACTTGGTTGGAAACAACTAGCTGGTGGGTGGAAGGGAGCCGACTCGCAGCTGGGACCCGGTAGCCAAGTTTGCTTGTTTTTAACCAGGGAGCGGTTGAGGAGCTACCAATCGGAGTTCTGTAAGAACATGGTAGACTACGTAGCAACTGTTGCTCACCTACAACAGATGACCAAACAGGGCAGCACATTTTTCCATTTGGTTTCTTTCGTCACGGAGCCCAAATCAAAGCCCAGCTATGTGAAGGCTAGTTGGGATAGTCCCAACCACAAATAGGTGCAGCCGCCCCTCTTTAATTCTCTGCATAGTTTTGGGTAGACCATTATAGTACCAGGTTCTGATTATCACTTGCATTGCCCTGTTTGCCTGTTCAAGCGTTTGTCAAACTTCTTCACCAACCGCTTATCTGCGCTCACTCGCCGTAGAGACTGCGCCTGGGGATCCTTTCACCATTGCTCCTATATTTGATGTCGCGCTCCCACGAACGTCGCACCTGCGGGCGGGTTCCTTTATGAGTCCAGGTATTTTCCCACCGCTATTGTTGTGGGAGGATGGGTAGGGAATGGGTCACTCACCAAAATTACAACTTCAAAATTTGGGGGGTACTGGGTCCAGGAAGTAACATACTGAAACTTGCCGTCTAAATGGTGGTGTAAAGGGAAAGGACCACCAAAAGCCATTTCGAGAACTTCATGAATGTTCACTTTAGGGGTTCCTGTTTTTGTTTACCGCTTTGCTTGCCTGTTATTTGCTTGGATCTGTAACCTTGAACTGTGGGCTTCCCCACCTTTCCAGCTTCTTTGGTGATCGTCTCAGAGCGGTATCTCTATCAACCGTAGCGATGTGGGAGCAAACAGTTCAGCTTTTTGCCCAGACAATAGCCAAATGATGCTCAGAGAGTCCCCCATCCAAAAACCAGTGTGTGTGTGTGTGTCGTTGGTTTCGCCCCTCCCTTCAAATGGTGGTGTTCCTTTGGATTTCCCTTTTGAGCCATCCCAAAAAGCGGACGGGCCATGAGGTGGCAGCTGCCACGACGCAGGCGCTCCAGCGCCTGAGCGAAAACCGACGAGCGCTCGGGTGCGATATATTTGGAAAGAGGATCCCAGTTGCCAGCCATAGCTGGCTGTGGTTGTCAAAACCGTGTTGGTACCATTTTGGGGTTTTGGTGCACCACCCAGTTTAGTCTACTTTAGTGGGGATTGGGATGTTCGTTGGGGGTACGATTTGGATTCTGACCCCTGGCCAGTTCAGGTCAGTCAGGTTGGTTTGGATTGGTGGGAACGAATTTGAAGCCCTGGTGCTTGTGGGATATGCGAAACCCCTCAGCCTCCAAACCACCGGGCTCCAAACCACCCTTTTTGAGGGAAGCTCAGTAGTAGGCTTTTGTTATTTCTCGTTGGTTTTAAAGGGAAGCTATATATCACTGGACGTTTGTATATCTTTTCGAGGGACTTTAGCAGATGGACGTAGGTATCCATGCAAGTTCCTGTTGATTTTTAGTTGGTGCCATATTGCTGGTTCTTTCCACATGAAGTCGATTACGGCGATGGGTAATTTCGTGAAAGTTGGGCCAGACATGGCCAAAAAAAAACTGTTCAGCACCCAACCCAAGTTTCTTGCTGGTTCGATAGGCAGGGAATTAGTTGGAATGACCCCTATAAACCATCCCTCATGGTTCCTTTATGGAGTCATTTCATACAGAGCACCAGCAAAGATTTGTCTATTGCATGTAAATGTGAAGTTCCTAGGAGTGAGGTAGCTTTGTCAGTTGCTTTTGCATGACTTTAGTGGTTGGAATACGGGAATGACCGCCCTTTCCAGCAATGGATCATTTTTTGCAGTGTTATTTTTTTAGTAGGGGAACTACCTCGAAACTGGTTGGCATGAATTTGCAAGGATGTCCAACCATTTCGGGTCTGGGGCCCAACGTTCACATGTTTGGGTGGTTCGCAGATTTGCCACAAACGAACAGGCAAGCAAGCTTTTGTCAGCCTCGTCCCTGCACTTCCATGGTGGTTTGTTTGAGGTAAGCCCTCCATGCAAAGTGGATGGTTGCGACATCCGTTCGCACCACGAAACGAAACCATGGCTGGGGAACCACAACGGTTGTTCGTATTTTCGTCAGGGAGTCGAATCAGCAAAACAGGGCTTCTGAACGGTGCGAACATGGTTTTTGTCCATCCACAGTAGGGATGTTTCTTCGCGCGGTTCAGTTTCGATGATTGATCATCATGGCAGGTAGTGGTTTCCCTTGTAACATTGTAGCGTCCAGACGGATTAGAAAAAATACCCTTCACTTTGAGGCAGGGTTGTGGGATCAAGGTGTTTATCCCCACTTCTGTGATACAAGGGATTCTGCCCCTTTATATGGCAGGTTTGTCTTTCGGAAGCCATTTTTGGGTTGTATCACAGTAGTGGATTCCATTTCCCACAGCCCTGCTTTGAGGTCTCGTATAAATATGTCGCTGAGTCCAGTACATAGGTAGCTTGGTTCAACCAGCCATCCGGCTACTCAGGTTTGGACCTGTTCGTCGGTTTCGTCGGTGAGGTCCCTCCCCTAAAATAGAGAAATACCAGCGTGGCCAGCTGGGGGGGGTGCTTGATGCAACCGGTTCCTTAGGTTTTGAGGCTTTTAGTTGGTTTAGCCCCCAGTGGTGCCCTTTTGCCGTTTCTTTTTTGGTTGGGAGATTCGGTTCCCCTACTAAAATAGACAAAAAAGAAAAAGAGGTTGGTACCCTTATTCCAACCTCTCTACTGGAGGACCTAGCGGTTGGGTTTCCGTATTCAACCGACTACAAGCCAAACTACTTAAGGCGGGGATCCGAGGGCCCGGGTAATCATCCATGTTTTTTGCTGCGGTTTTAAGCAGAAGAGCGGCATTTCCCATACTCCTTCACCAAGTACGGAAGAATCCAAGAAAACAAAAGGCACCCCCACTTGATCCTTGCCAGGTCCCGGAATTCCAGTGCTCTGGTGGGTTTTGCAAACAATCCCAATCTGAACTTGGTGATTCCCAGCCATCCCCTTAGCTTTTAGCCTTTTCGTGTTTAGTGGGGATTTCTATTTAACCCACAAAAAGTTAAACGGATGCATTTGTCGTCTCCCAGCCTTGGGCACTTCTCGAAATGAACTCCGTTGAGGTGCGACAGCGTTGGGTTTCCCGAAGGCTTCTTTAGTAACGTGCTCATTTCCTGGCGGTTCCTTTTGTTTTTTTCTTTTTCGTCTTTTCGGCAAACAACGACAAGGGGCGTGTATTGTTGTGACCGCCAACCCCCTATCTCCAAAAAAAATCACCTTCAACCCTACAAAACAACAACATTCACAGCCTAGGTCCCCCAGTAGTGCTCTTTTACACTTTGGGTTCCCCTACTAAAATAGACTACAGAAAAAGGGTACCCTTATTCTAACCTCGCTGCTGGAGGACCTAGCTAGGAACGTGCTCACTTCCTGGCGGTTCCTCTTGGCAAACAACAACCAGGGGCGTGTGGTGCTGTGACCGCTAACCCCCTATCTGCCCAAGAAGCGTATCACTGACACCTTCAACCCTACAAAGCAACAACATTCACAACTATCAACCCTAAACCCCCCCACACCCAGGCATCAGCTGGCGAACATGCAGAAGCAGATGCTCGTCTCCCTGAATCCAGCCGCTGTCCAGCTTGGCCAGGCGGGAAGGATCAAGCCGGACTGAGCGAAGGCCCTGTCCTTGGTGGTGCAACCAGACGTTTGGTTCCTTAGGTTGTTAGGCTTTTAGTTGGTTTGTTAGACGTCCATTTGCTTAAGATATATTTTTCTTGTTGATTTTAATGGGAAGCTATCACTACTGGATTTCATTTGTTCCAGGGGACTTGAGCAAATGGATGTAGAGGTTTCCACTTAACCCACTCAAAGTTAAACTTTCAGCAGAGGGCGAACACTCCTTGGGCTTTGTGCTTTGTGGGGGCATTCCTGGTCTTGGTGGTTCAACCAGTTGGGTTTGGTTCCTTAAGTTTTAGTTGGCTTTAGTTGGTTCAGTGGTTGGGCCCTCTGTGGGATTCCGTGTTTCCGGTGTGATGCTGACCCCTGATTAATCAACCCATCATCATTTAGGGGGGTCTCTTAGTGATTCCTTTTTTCTTTGGAGGCCCCCTTGATTAACTGGGGGTGGTTCATGAATTAGGGCTCGACGTTGTGCTTGTCTTGGTGGTAAAACCAGCGAACCGTCCGGTTCCTGAAAAGTTTTAGTAGATCTTTAGTGGGTGAAAGGTGGTTGGGTGTCCATTTTTCCCACAAGTTAGAAGCTTCTTGCAGGGGATCAGAAAACGGACAACTCTTTTGTTGTTTCCGGTGTGAATGAAAGGGACAAGGAAAAGAGCACCTCCAAAATGGGTCCGGGGGGGGCCTCCCTATTTGAGTCACGGGTAATTGGAGGGTAGTGCGGGACAATTCCCTTGCGATACATGGGCGCCGATATCCACCTGTTCAAGTATTTGCATGGTTCTGGGTAGACCATTTTAGTACCGGGTTTTGAGTGTGATTCATTTGGACACTCGGTGGCATTGTGTTGTTCTGTTTTTTTGCACTGATTCCTGACGTGTTTATGCTTCAATCAAAAACCTCATCAAAGCCGGCAAAAATGGAGGTGAGTAGTGTCATTTATGATGTCAGGGCTACTGATCAAAGAGCTACTCATCACAAGTGCATTCCAAAACATTCAGGAAAATCCATTGTCGTTCAGTCAGAAACATTCTGTTTCATTCCAATTGCTTCTGTTTCATTCAAAATCCTCCAGTTTCAAGCCTGGAAGAAAGGGAGGGCTGCCTCACGCTTTTCACAGGCGTCCAGGTGGGAGACTTGGAACAATGCAGCTCAAGTGGTTTTCGGGGGTTGTGTTTGAATTGTTTGGCTGGCATTGTTTCAATGCTCGATTTGTTTAATTGTTTGGCATTTTTCCCCGGAATACGTTTGATTGTTTTTGATTTGTCCGGGATGTGATTGAATGTTTTAGTTATGTTCCGGCTTTGTTGGACGGTTTTGATATTTTCATTCGAACGTGTTTGATTTGTTCTGCAGTTCGTTTGATTGTTGTTTATTTGTTTGGCATGCTTTGAATTTTGATGTGTTTTTGGCATTTGTTCATATGCCTTTGAATGTTAGTACATGTTTTGTTTGTTTAGCATGCTTTCGATTTTGCGGAGTTATTTTTGTTTTCTTTTACAATTCTATTTTGTTTTAACTGTGCGGAATTTCAACAAACCATGTTGCGGAATTTTGTGTCTTTTACTGTGTGCAATTTGTTGGACTGTGTCTCGGTGTTGTCGTTTTTTTGTTTTGTTTTTTTTTTTCCCTGAATGCTGGCGCCGAAAGGAGGAGTCAAGGTAGGGGATGGATTGAGCCTTGCCTGTGCCCGGGGATGAATTATGTGTACGTAATGCAACATTGTGGGCGTTGGAAAAACAAAGAAACAAAGCAGCAAACCCACATTGTGTCATGCAGGGCTAAGTTGTAGCCAATGCAACCTCAAATGAAATGCCGGCCTTTATTTTGTTTGGCGCCTTTTGGGTTCGCTAAACTGGTTGCTTGGCTGGCTGGTTGGCCGGTTGGTCGGTACATTTCTGCCTTGACGGCTAGAGAACTCCAAGCCATTTGCTCCAGTTGACACCTCAGCATTGGGACATCAAACGCAAATCCCCACACTATGTGTCCCAAAGTCTTCCCAAATAAATTTGAAGGAAGTTGACGTATTCATCCCGAATCAAGTTGAATGTTTTTTTGAAGGAAGTTGACGTATTTGAATGCTTTTGCAGGCCCCATGAGTGCCGCTCTTAAGACTGTGACCCCTATCCTCACAACAAGATAGTGCACATGCCCAAGGATGTTTGCCTTTTTGATCAGTGACGCTTCTTATTTGTCTTCTTTGTTTTTGCCCAAAGAGAAACACCTGGGCCGTTCAAAGGAAATCCTGATTCCTTACCTTGGGTACCGAGCAGCCTGGAAAATTACGTGGGTATGGGTCAAATTAAAGCACCAGGGGACCATAGGTAGACCTCAGTTCCATTTACCAGGGCAAGCCATTTTGGGCACGAATTCTTGACCCACAGCCACTTGGTCCGCCACCGGAAGAGTTCCTCGAATCTGTTTTTCGCAGGAAGGCGCGTCTCTGCCTGGGGCGCCCATGGGTGAAGTGCCGCAGCATGTGCTGGCCAATCTGAAGCTGCGGAATTCCATGAGCTCCATGGATTCGCAGCTCGAAGAACCAGAGGGAAGCCGCCAGCCCCTTCCTATTTGGGGGGTTCAGACACAAAGAACCGCGTGGCGTTTCTGGGTAAAGGAGAGACCCAAAGGAAACCGCTCGAAGAACGAGAGGCGGCAACTTTGTTTTGGTTTTAAAGGAAAGACCAACAGGACATCACCTATCCTATTTGAGAAGTTCAGTCATAAAGACCACCTGGAGGCTCTTGGGATGGCCAGCGGGACCTTTCATGGTTGCCAGGCCCACATGTGAAGAAGAAACAAATGGATCCCATATTTTTGTTGGAACCCACATCCCACATATTTGTGCAGATTCACGTCGGGGACATCGCCCATGATTTGGTTCGGGCGGATTACGAACCTACACAAAGGGGGGGGTTCTCATTAGTATGGGATTGATTATTTGGTGCAAGGGGCATGTCTCCAGACAGTAGAGGTTTTCAGAGCATGACCCAAAAGTGACCCAAATTGGGCCGGTTTCAGTACGATGTTGTTTTTTCACCAACGGTGCAACATGTGGTTTCAGGGCTTTTGGTTCTGGTGCCCAGGGAATTCCCTCCATGACCCAAGGAAGTCCCCGAACGGCCATCGAACACGTCGCCCGAAAATTCGGGCGCCCCTGCTCCGCCCGAGCCCGGACGCACCGAGGGGAGACCAACTCTTTGAGGACGCAAACGAGGATCCCTTCAGCAGCTTGGCGGGTTCCTGCCGGAAGTTGCTGCTGAAGCCAAGTCGTATGGTTCTGGGGTTCTTGGATTGGAGGCTTGGCCATCTTCGTGAGCAAAGGAACTTTAGAGTTAAAGGTCATGTTGACCTCATATTGATCGACCCCAGTTTACGAAATGGGGGTGTCACTAGGTTTGGTGGGGAATCATCACTTTTGGAGGGCAACACCCCCTTTGAATAAACTCGGTGGATTAATATGGGCTCAAACGTAGCACAAGTGTCGTTGTCAATCATGCAGCCTACTCAGTAGGCATTGAAGGCTAAGCCTTCCAGCACAATTGCATCCTCGCTGCACAAACGAAGCCTTCCTTCCTGCTAACAGTAATTATTTTCTTGGCCTAAAAAGGCCTACCAAATCTGGGTGTGTCTTTTGTTTTGGTTGTCAGGGGAAGCCAAAAGGAAACCGTTGCCATGCTTGGGGGCCCCCTATTGCAAGACAAAGCCAAATATGGCTGTGATTCCATTTTGGTTGGTAGGTGAATTCACCACCCATTTTAGGGTTTTAGTGGTTGGATGGGGATGTTCACAGGGGGTACGATTTGGATTTTGACTAATGGCCATATGAGCCACAATCAAAACCTGGTTGGATGAAGGTGAGTAAGGAAAAGTCCCAACAATCAATGCATGCGGCCGCCTTGTCAATTCTGTACATGGTTCTGGGTAGACATGTTTGTACCGGGCTTTGATTAGGATTCATATTTCTACCCTGAAACATCCCATCACACCTCAGCGCTCTTTGTCAAACCCAGTCCTCCAGTCGTGTCTTGTCGTTTATCGTGCGCCTGTCGTTTCTCGCGCCGGATTTGTTTTCATTGTCATCGTGTGGCAGCTGTCAGCGAGTGAAAATCTCGAGGTCTACATGGGTTGATAGGCCCTAAGGCTCCCGATCATTTTTGGGCCCTCAACATGGTTTGTCTTGCAGGGCCCTTGAGGGGTCAGGGTTCTTCATTGGAGGGCCTTAGGGGTGTCCTTTTTGGTTATATGCGGTTGAAAAATAGGTTGGGCGAGTCCTGGTTTACCTGAACAACCAGGGGGGGGGGGGGTGAAAATAGCCTAGGTCCCTCAGTAGTGCCCTTTTGCCAACTTTTTTGGGGGGAGGGTTCCCCTACTAAAATAGACTACAGAAGAAAGGGTGCCCTTATTCTAACCTCTCTACTGGAGGACCTAGTAGCTACTTGGCTGGACTCTAGGGTCCCCCTTTACATTCCATCCAGAGGGGGAGAACAGCGATCGATTTCTTTTTCTCTTCGCATCACCATCCGCTGCGAATTCCAAAATCATTTTTGCCCCAGGGACGGAGCCCCGTGACTTCTGGGTGACAGCTATTTACCAAACCTTCGTGCTGCGAAGTGGATTTGGCACTCATCTGCGACAGGGCTCCTTAAAAGATACACTTTGCAACCAGTTGAAACATGGCTTTTGCCACCAAAATAAAGGGACACCACCATTTGCAAGGCAATGTTCAGGTGTATAATGTAAGGATCCCTGTGCGATCTCAGGCGATTTCGACCTCTTGGGCACGGACGATGAGGACCTGGCGCGGCGGCAGTACGAGAACGCCGGGCGCAAGAAGAAGAAGAAGGACGGAGCTGGGTCTGTGGCTCAAAAAACCGGAACCAAGAGTCTCCATCCTTTAACAATGGGGTCATGACCCCTTTCTTTTGGGTAATGACCCCATTTTTTAAGGGTCATGGAGACTCTAGGTGCCAAGATGGGGTTGCCCTGATAAGTGGAAACATGGACCAAAACCTGCGGTTTGCTCCTCCTGGTTGATTTTGAGCCACACCCATCTGGATATCACCGTTTTGCCCCCAGGTGGCCAGGACACGTGGACGTGCACTGCATGCGCTGTGCGCACGCCCGAGGAAGCTTGAGTGATTGATACGGAATCATCATGGCTTTCTCATTTTGTTTCATCAGGGGCTAGTTGCAAGTTGTCCACCTGATGCTGCTGGAGCTTGTTTTCGTTGAATCAGATGTGACGACAGTTGCAATGCCCCATTTGGGCTCGTTCCTCAGGGAATGGGGATCATTCCTGGAGTCTCCCTACCCTTCAAAAGAGGATTGGTGAATTGGTGACCTCCAAGCCGGTGGATCCCGGGTGGCCATTTTCCTCTGACACTTAACTCAGGGGCATAGGTGTCCTTTTTGGTTGTTTTGGTCGAAGAATAGATGGGTTTCCCTGGTTTACCTGGTGGTTTAATCATCTACCAGGGCCATCTATTTGCCCCAAAAGGGCACCTATGCTCAGGGGTGTTGTTTTGGTTGTCGTAACAGTTAAATGGATTAGAGCAAGCTCCCAAGGCGCAGAGTTGCTTGTGGTGCCTTAAGGACCGATTGGTTTGAAGCAGGGCACCCAGCGACATCTACCCGAGGTGGTCAAGGGAGTTACCCTACCAAAAGGACCTTTGGTTGCCTGCTGCACCTGCTGCACTGGCATCTAGCCCTTTTAAGAGCAAGGCCAAAGGTCGCCCTTCTTGTCCAGCATCGCCTGTGCGCGCCTAATGCCATTTCCCCACATTTTAGTGGTACCAAACAAATTTCATTTTAGCGGTTTAAAGCTTAAAGTAGCGGTCATCTACCCCAACGTCGTCACGATCCCATTTTTTTAAAGGGTCATGGAGACTTGGTTTTCACGGTCACAGCTGTGTTCCTGCCCCCCCAACTTTCGGCGAACTTCGCGAGCGGGTTGCAAGCTTCGAACAGGGCGGGTCCCTCAGTGACCCGGGTGACCGAACACAAAAAAAGGGGCCCCCCGAAAGGCGTGCGCTCGTGCGCTCGTGCCATCTCCTTTTCGCTGGGACGAGGCTGAAAGGCTTCAAGGCCTCCCAGGCGTGCGTCCCGTTTTGGCCGCGTTTTTTTTCCGCCAGGATGTGAAGGAGGTAAAGCAAGCCTGGGAGGAGGACAGTCAGGCACCGACTTCCGAGCGCCTCCATCTGGGGCGATCTGTCTGGGTTGTGCAGGGCTCCTTAACAGATCTCCATTTTGCAACCATTTGAAACATGGCTTTTTCCGCCAAAATAAAGGGAAACCACCATTTACAAGGCAATGTTCAGGTGTATAATGTAAGAATCCCAGTTGTGGGATCACTCGGGGGTTCTCCAAACACTTCTGTGATACTTTTGGGAATCTCCCCTTTATGGGAATCCCCGATGGTTTCCTTTAAGGGAATCCCCTTCCCTTTTCTGTGGTTTGCTTTTAAGGGAATGAAAAATAGCCATCCACTATGGTTTCTGTGAGACAACTTTGGTTTGAAAGCGGGGTTGTGGGATCAAGGGGTTTATCCCCACCTCTGTGATACAAGGGAATCCCCGGTTTATTTGGGGGAGTGGTTAGTGTTTGGGAAGCCCGTTTTGCTGTATCACCGTGGATTCCGTTTCCAACTGCCCCGGCCTGGACCCTCAACAATACTCTCAGAAAAAGGTGAAACTGCCCCAAACTGGGGGGGCACTCCCTTTGAAAGTAGTTTAAGGGTCCAGGTGGACAAATAACAACAAGCTCGTGAGGTAAAGCGACCCACACTTCTTTTCTCAGGGGATTTCCTTTCCAGGTGAACAGTAATTGGCGATAGATGGGTCCCACTGTAGTTATTGCAAGCCGAACTAGAACCAGGCTGACCAGAAGCACCAGGCTGACCCTTTCTCAACGAAGCTGATGAGAAAGGACACCTGTGGGACCCTTCGAAGGGAATCTGTGTTCCATGTTGTTCTTGGCTGCGTGACTGCCTGGGTGTTTCAAAATCAATCCTTAGTCCTTATGCCAAATGGTCGTGTTTTGCCTTGTCGTAGTGGTGTGCCTTTGTGGATTGCGGATTGCATGTTTTTCCTGGTTTCCCACCATTTCAAACAACTCAGAGACGTCTCGATAATCACATATTGGAATTCAGTATTTCAATTTTGTTTGGCCAATGTTTGACCAATCCACTCACTGGTCTGGGCTGTTGGTCTTTAAGGGCAACCGAGAAACAAACACCCAACGCTCGGAGCCGTTGGATTTTGGCCGGTCCTTGCTTTCCTTTGTGGACATGGCCCTACACGTGCAGACTCCTGCATACTGTGGATGGACAAAATCCTGCACCAGCAAAGGGACCCTGGAATGATGATTCCCCTGTAACTACCAACAAACCATGGTTTCCCACGGTTTCAACCTGGTGCGAACGGAGTTCGTCCATCCACAGTGCTACAGTTTTTTTGTTTTTCCGTGAAAGGCCACCGGGAAGCCCAGCAGGCTTTGGGTTTTCTCCCACATTGGGCCTAAAGGCCGAGGCATGAAGGGCCTGGGACCCGGTGGCTTGCTAGCCTCGGCATAGGAGCCAAGCTCTTTTATTGCGAGCCCGGCCAAGTTCGGAGATGGAGGTCTTTCCATACCCAAAATGACCCAAGGGCACTTCAGATATGGACGCTTGGAAGCTGGTTGAAGTATGTTCTGCCTTTTTCTTTGGCAAGCTGTTGAAATCCCGGGATTCATTGTAGGTGTTGACATCGAAGAATTCGCAGATGTCACCTATTCTCCCGCACTTTGATGAGCCCAACAAGCCTTCAGTTTTGGAGGAATCCCCATCAATGGATTTGCTTTTGGGTTCCATGTTCATCTGCGGCGGAGAATTCACTAGACTTCGACCTCAAGTCTGGCCATGATTTTGGCGAGTATGTTGTTCTTTCAGAGTAATTTGATGAGTGTGCACAATGTGATTTAGTTTCCTCCCGTGAATGCAGGGGGCAATAATCAAGCTCAAGAGTAATGTGAATGACCATGCTGTTGTGAAGTGAGTTTTTTGTTAACAATGTCAGCAACCTTATTCATTTGATTGTTACTATTACTTCCATTTGAAAAAAACAGGTGTTATTTTCCCCTGTGGGTAAGGACGTCTATCACTGCTGGACAGATGCTTATTTTGCCCAGGGGACGTATCCGCAGATGGAGGATTATGTTTAAGGTGTTTCGCCAAGAGCTAAAAGCTTCAGCTCGGCAGTTTGGAGCAGCTTTTAGATAGGGTTCTGGAGGGTTCCCTGCTCGGGATACAACACCCGGGCCGATGTGAGTCACAATTAACACCCGGGCAGATGAAGCTTAGTCAGGGACACGGCCAGAAATAGGTGCGGCCGTGGATTTGGGCAGACCATGTTAATACCAGGTTTGATTATGACTCATGTTGTTTTGTTGCTTTGTGTCTGCTTGGTTTGACCATTTCCCAACTCCCTTGGGCAGGATGAGGACAAGAAATTGCACCGTGACAAGAGCGTGGCTTGGCAATGGTCGTGCATATGTGAACTCCCTCATTGGTGGTCCCTTACTTGATGCGAGAATTCGAGGTGAGTTGTCTCACAAGCCAAAGAACATCGGGGTACTTGGTGGTTCAACCAGCCGAATCCGGTTCAACCAGCCTTTTAGTTGGCGTAAGTTTTAGTGGTTGAGTTCCATTCGACCTGCTAAAAGTGAAAAGCTTTTGGTTTAGCGGTTGGGTGTCCCTTTCACCCGCCAAAAGTGAGAAAAAAATTAGCAGGGGATCTGAAAACGGACAGCCCAGTGTAGTCATGTTGGCAGGCACGAAGCAGATTTCAGCAATAAGGACTCCCGCTCTCTTGTTTTGCCCGGCAATCAGGTAAGGCTATCCATTTTGAACCACTAAAGGCAGCTTGCATGTCAGCTTCAAAGGCCGTTTGCGGAAGTATCTATGGTGTTTGTCTTTGGGGTCGGTTGTTGGGTGTACGTTTATCTGGTGTCTCCTCCATTTTTTCCAGGGCGGGCCAAATATGGCCCAAAGTCAGAACATCTCATTTCCCCAGATGTGGGCCAGGTTATTGGATAGATACACGCCTCCCCAAAGAACAAGCGCTGGTTTTGATCTTTCATTGAAGGAACGTGGCAGACCACAGTTTCCCCTGAAGTGGTGGTTTGGATTCGTGGTTTGCTTACCCCAGTTCCTTTGTTGCCAAGTACAACAGGCGTACCTAGGTCCATACTCCGATAAAGGCCCCAAAATGACCATGGGGGATATGGTGAAAGTCTGGTGATTTCCCTGGTCATCCCATGTTCAGACCGGACCTTTTGATCCACCCCCAACGAGGGGTCAGGTGGAAACTTCTGTCAGCAGTGGAGCAAGAGCCCCAGCCCCCGGGACCTGCGACACGTTCAATCGGGGGCGGTCGTTTTTGAGTTGAACTCTCCAGTTTTGGTTTTTTGAAGGGAAGGGAAATGGCCAAAACGGATGTGCTGGGTGACTGCAATCGGTTTTTCCGGGGCCCAAACAGCACCTGTGATCGAGCTTTTGCTCATAGCAACCCAGTGCTTCCTTTCGGCGTGGCAAGCCACTATAGGCTTGCAACATCTTGCCCGGGGAATCCATGGTTTAAAGCCTGGCAAGGATCCCGAAGGGTTGCAAGCCTACTGTGGATGGACGAAATCCTGCACCACTTTGAAACCATGAACCATTGTTTTGTGGTATTCCCGGGGAATGAGAATTTTTGTTAGGTGGTGCAAGATTTCGTCCATCCACAGTATGGCGAAGCGTCAAAAGGAAGCACTGGGCCAAGGCATCGTTTCTTAAGCCAGCCGCGAGCCTACCCCTCAGGGCAGCGCTTTGACGCTCAGAGACGAGCCTCGGCAGGGTTTAGGCTGTGGTAGTCTCCACTTGCTTCAGAATATGTGGTGTTTTCCCTTGTTGGTGAATGGAATCAATCCCTGCTGGACATATTGTTGTCGTTTTTGCTTCAGCACAAATGTGTGTGTTTTCCCTTGTTGGCAAGGGAATCTATTGCTGGACATATTCTTCCGGGAGACTGAAGCAAATGAATATAATTCCACGGTGGATGGTCAATATCCGCTGGTTCCAGCACGTCATGTGAAAGCATCCCAAGCAAAGTTGGCCTCCAGCAACCGCCAGTTGGCGTGGATGAAACCCTTATGCAGGTGGATAAACCACCTCACTGGAAGTGTCTCTGTCGCCTTGGGCCATCTGATCGTGTCTTCAAGCCTCATGTGGGTTTCTCTTTTTTGATGGAAATTATCCTTTTTGGGCTGCTTTCAATGGGAAACTACAAGGATTCTATTTGTGTGGAGAGCTCTCCAATTCTGAGACCAACCCATAAAAGGATTGAAATATCTCCCTTGAATGTGCGGCTTTGGGATGGTTCCAAGAGGGGTATTTGCTTTTTCGAGAAAAGCCAAAGCAAAGACCTCTTTTGAGGTTTGGTTCACACTTGCAGTGTGTGGCCAATTTGGGGTACAGGACTCATTTAAGAAATGCCAACGCAAAAAAAAAACGGGAGTCACAGATTGTCCCACCGCAATTACGGAGAAGTTGTGCATATTTCGAAGCGAGTCACTGACCGACTCTAGCAAGGAAGGTGTGGTTGTCGCGCATCAAATGCCCCATGAAACTTCCATGTCGGTTGGGAGCGCCGGCTGATAATTGGCCTGGGCTCATATGCATACATGCGATCTATGTTGTAGGAGGAAGTTCAGAAGAAACTTCCGTAGTACTGGCGCTAAACAGATGAGAGCGGAAGGAGAAGAGAAGAGGAGATAAACAACCGGCTGTCGCGAAAAAGTATTGAGAGCGGAAGGAGAAGAGACAAGAAGTGAAGAAAGGAGAAGAGAAGAGAAAAGATAAGAAAAGAGAAGAAAAGACAGGGAAAGCGAAGAAAAGACAAGCGCCCAGATTGCGGGACAGGTGCAGGACTTGTGGATAGAAAGTGCTCAAAGTGAGCGTCCTGTGCGTTGTCCCGCGTGTTCCGGGGAAGCGCAAGCCACCTCTGGCGCGACACTTCTTTTCTTCTGCGGGTTCGGAACGGGTGTGGCACGGGTTCGGCGCAGAGCTCATTGGCACGGACCCGCGCACTTGTCGCGACATGAGTTTGCGCGACCGGTGCAGCACTTCGATAACGTGAGGTGTAGATTGCGTGGCAGGCACAGCGCTTTGCTCGATTGGTGATCTGATTTCGTGGCAGGCCCAACGCTTTTGCATGCTTTTGCAAGGTCAGGTACAGATTTGGGGCGACTTATAGTAATGTGCCCAGATCTTAAACAGAGCCTCAAGTGGCACTGGTGTGGACAAATCGATTCAGGGGGACAAGGAGATGCTCAAGAAGAAGGCTCATGCCGTTGCAAGGCGCGGACGTCAAGCGTTTGCGTGTGTGCTTGTTGAGGTTCGGTAGTTTGTTTGTGGGATTAAAAGCAAACCGGACCCTTCCCACCATATGAGCTCCCTCCCGCAAAGATAGGTCTGCCTCCAGGTAGTTGCTTGCTGGTTTCTCATGTCTTCCTCAAGTTGGAGCACGGGAACGCATTCCTTTACTCTGCTGGGTATGGAGTTAGTTGTTTGATTCGTTTTGGTTGGTGCTGTCAGGGCTGTCAAGAGAAACAGACTGGAAGTTGGGACGGAGCGTTGCTTGGTGAATGGCTCCCACAGAGCTGGACGAAAGATCCACGGAAGGGAGGGTCCTGTCCATGCCTCGATCGATGCACAGAAATTCCAAAGGCACCCATTTCTTTCTGGACATGTTTTATTCCCTGTCAAACCACCAGTACAACAACGGGGTTCATACAACCACCATTGTTTACCTAAGGATTGTCAGACAAATTGGGTCCTTGCCATTCTTTCCCCCAAATTCCCACTTTGATGTTTACTATAGTGTTTCATCCGAATACGCATGTAAACATGCCATTTGTTTAAACACGATGTGTACTACTCATACTCCAAGCATTTTTTGCAATGGGATCCGCACATGTTGCCCTCAAACACATCAGACGACAAGGTGAATTGAACCTTCCAGAGGCCAATTTTGATGTTGAATTAAAAAGCACATATACCGCTGGGGTTGCAAGGTCCAAACTAGGCCCTGGAGAAGTCAAGCATCTATGAAATGTACTCCAACCCAAGCTTCAAATCAAGAAGCAGCCATGCCTCAAGAGCAAGCCCCTATTGCCACTTCTCAGGCAGCTGTATTCCGTGCTTGGGTCTTGAAATTGAACATTTACAAGCTCGGGTTGCGATCGCTGTTTTTGGAAATCACAAGATTGGCGCCTAGGTGTTCACGGGTAAACATGGTATCTAACAGGTCAATGACGCAGTTCACGCAAATTTCACGGGTATTTCACGAAATTGCTGTTTTTGGGGGCTTCAGATTGGACTCCATCAAAAAGTATTTTGGCCCTAGCACACATAATAATGACGCTGCTAGGTCAGCAAAAAAGTTGTTTTGAGGTTAAGCAGCCCGAGCTTCGGCCTGCCAGTTCTCGACTATATAAATTTGAAAGACCCTGAGGGGGATGGCCTGCAATGATGAATGTAGGAAACATCCTCAGACCAAAAAACTCGTGAGTAGTGTCCTTTAAATCATGGAGCCTTGCTGGAAAACCTGCTGCAGATACAAATGACGGCTCCAAAGTCATGATAAAGCGGACAATTCAGGAAATTAAGTCGATGGGATGCAAGTAAACACTGTATTAGGGAAAATGGCACTTGTTAGTTAAACACAGTCCTTCTAAAGTTCGAAGTTAAACTTCAACGTTGAAGATGAGGGCTTTTAATGGGTGTTGAACCCTAGGAAATTGACATGGCCACTTGTTGGCTTTATGCTGTGCTAGGCGCACCGTGAACGAGGAAGCGATGCCGCCGGGCCGAGCCTTCGCGAGGCGGGAGCTTTTGATCGGCGAGCTCGGTGAGAAATTGGTGTTGCTCAAAAATAGGGGCCCAAAATGGAACCTTGGAAAATGGGAACATAGACCAACACCTGCGTGTCTCAGCTGATTAATTTTGAGCCACAGCCACAGCCAAATAGATGAGCAGCCCACTGCCCAGTGCTTCCGATTGCGTTTCGCCAGTATAGGTAGGGGAAGCCACTATAGTAGGTGGGTGGCTTGGTTAGAAATAGGTGGGGGTTGATGAAAAGGTCCTGAAACCATGGGATGATTGGGGAAAATTCACCAAGATGGTGGAAACCACATGGGACGTGTTTTTCATGGTCATTTGGGGGCCAGGAAAATTCATAAACCCCCAGATGGTTTCCAGAGGTTTAGAAGTTGGTTCTATATTCCATGTACCAGGGAAAGCCATCTAGGTCGCCAAAAGGTCACAACCTCCAAGACCAATTCAAGAAGCTGATGGTTGCGTACTGTTTTACTACTGTATATAGTGATGTTCTAAAAGAGAGCAGTCTGTTGAGGCTCAAACCGCACGGAAAATGGGGAATCATCCCATGGTGAATATCCCAGTAGTTTGGGCGACGGTGTACCGTTCTTTTCTTGGAGTGGGAAGCAAAAGGGGAGCCAGCCATTTTGGGTCTATCCTGACAAATACCACATTAAAAAACGACCTCCGTTGTGCCCTTTGCTTGTTTTTATTGGAGGGGTGTCCCCCTTATCGAACAACCGGTGCCCGTTTGTCTACTTGCCACTGGATTGGTTGTCAGTGCATAGTTTTAGGGGCACGCCATTGTCACTGTGCTATGGTTCAAAAGTTTGTGCTATGGCTTTCTTGTCTCAACCAGCCATCCGATTCCTTAGTTTTTTAGATCTTGTTGGTTGGTTTGGTGGGTGTTTCCGCTTAACCCACAAGTTAAACCTTTAGCAGGGGATCTGAGGGCAGCCCAGCCTTGAATCAGCAATGTTGACCCCAAGTGGTGGTGATTGGTGTTTTGGATTTGAGCTGGGGAACCACCCACAGGAGCCTCTGACCAATCCACACCAACTGAATGTCGTGCGTACTGATTGTCTCGAAATTGTTTGAAAGGAATATGAAGGGAGACTAGCCAATCAGAAGAGTTCCCTTGACAAAGGACAACCCCGGTCAAGCGCAACTGGATGCGACAAGTTTATATTATGACCCCTAACTCGGACCAACCTTCCCCTTGTTCCCCGAATAAGTCCTGAATGAAGTAGGGTCATTTGGTCCCATGTTGGATGTTAGATTCTAAGTGAACACTTTTGCAGTGTTCGGGGTATTCCTTCAAACCCCACCAATTTTAGCGGTAGTTTTGAGGAGAATGGTACCAGGTATGGATGCCACCTGCCCAAAACAGTCGAAACGCCCCGCCCAGCTGTTAACGTTGCCTTTCTGACACGCGATGCGCTGCACAAAAAACTTTCGCTACCAAGAAAACTGCCCAAACGCTTTCATGTGTCGCGCGTACCCCGGAGGTCTGATTGAGCGGTGGCTTTGGGAAGCTTGCTTTCAACGAGGGCAGATCCGCAGCTTTTTTCGCGCGGGTGGGTATGTACCCGGCGCATACAAAAGCGGACCCAGAAAACTACCCTATTTACTCCTGTATTGTTTTCCAGAAAACAGCTGGGGGTCAAGAAATGCACAACCACACCTAGACTGGAGGTCTAAGATAACTATATATATATATATTGGGTTGTCTTAAAATAGTAATTGGACTTCCCAAATGGTGGATATCGTGTTGGTTTCCATTCAAAGCCATCCAAAAAGGGGTACCCTCCGAAAAAGGCGGGCCCATATCATATGTCCAGAGTCAGACCATTTTTTTTCCCCCCCGTGCTTTCTCCAAGTCTTGTGCAACTGGCAACCCTAACCATTTCACCACGAAACCACCGATTCGGCTCCGAACAAATCCTTCTCGAAGGAAGCTGACGCCAAGTCTTGGCTTTATCCCCACCCCCTTAAACATGGAATTGGTGAAGGGGGTGACCACAGGAGATCTCCATTTATGGCAACCCATTTTCCCTACTGGAAGACTAGATCAATGGCATTGGGGGCCCCCCCTTCATTTCACTGTTCTTGGCAAGTTTCTGGGGTTTTCTTTTTGTTCTGTTCATTTTTACTGCGGGGGTGCCAAAAAAACCAGTCACTAAGGTACCCCGTCTGGTTCTTGTCATGGGAACCCACCTCCCCAGGCTCCAAACGACCAAGCATCGAGGCAAGCTGAAAGTGGACCAAGGCTTGTGTTGTTTTTGGGTTCCGTTCATTTTCTTTTTTTTGGGGGGGGCTGCACAAAAGCAGACCCCGAGTTTTTAAGGTTTGTGTTTGTTTTGTGTTTTTTTTGGGGGGGGGCCTGCAAAAACCAGACCCCGTCTTTTTGTTTGCAAGGCCAGAGGCGTGTTTTTTTGGGTGCTTGGCAGGAAGGTGGTTTTCAGCCAGCGCTTCGAGTGGGTGGCGGCCTGCATCCTGGTGGGCAACTCCTTGCTGGTGGGCATCGAAACGGAATGGACCTTGCAGAATCTGAACCAGGCGCGAAACGGCGGCCGTTTTTTTTTTTTTTTTTTTTTTTAATAACAACATAAGAAGAAAACGCGAGAGACGGCGCGGCGCTGTCTCCGTTGTCTTTTCTTCTTCTTCTCTTTTTGTTTCCTTCTTTTTTTTTGTAAATCGGGGCATCGAAAAAACGACGCACGACCTTGAGGAAGGCCGGTAAAAACGGTGTTCTCTTTTAACATAGGCCCACCAAAAAAATGTTATTGCCCAAAAATAGGGGAAAACATTCCCTCCCCTTTTTATGGGTACTCTGAGGGTCCAGGTAGATAGTATTGCCCAACAGCCCGGGAATTGCCTGGAAACTAATCTCCAGAACACAAACGAAACTCTCCCAAGCTGTCCCAAACCACTGGGCAAAGACGCCGTAGCTGTTGGAAAAAAATCCTAAACATGGAGACAGAAAAACGAAAATGGCCGGTTTCCTGTTTTGGGTGCCCGGAAAATTTCAACTAAAACGAGCACCCAACACTCGCCCGCAGCCCTCTCAACAAAGTCAGGGCGGATGTACCGCTTTTGGGCGGTTTCTTGTGGCCCGAAGATTTGGATGCCTCGGGAAAAAGTTTAGTTTAGCCCAAAAATAAAGAGTCCTGAACCCTCAAAATGTAAAAAACAACAAACAAACATGAATTATTGCTCAAGAGTGGTGGGGGAAAATCCCATTTTGTTTGCTTTTCATGCGTAGTTCGAGGGCCCAGGGTGGAACCAAACAATCACAGGGCGCTTGAATCCGGGTTCCATTTCTTGACTACGAGGAAGGCCGAATCGCAGGGGTTGATTTCCCAAGCGAAACTGCTGGGTTGAAGTCTACCGCAAGAACCCTGCTTCAAGCCCTTTTATTATTTGTGATTCGGAAAGAGACGTGGTTTGGGGCAAGAGCAAAAAGATAAAACCAGTTAAAGGCAAGAGCCTATTCACTTCTTTGGGCAAGAGCTAGGTGAGTTTCCCAGGTTATAGGCCCAAGAGCGATAAGAAAGTGCATGAAGTTAAGCAATAAAAAAAAACACACTCGCTTCCCTGAGAGGCCTTCTGGTTTGCATCGCCAGTCTGTGATGTAGCCTGTGGGTCCCAACTACCCCGCTCTACCATCGTACCTTTCCCTTTTGGTTTCATACCAACTCTGTAGGGATACACCTGGGGTACGTGACAACAGTCTCCAAACTAGTTCGAATTATTGAGGTTTTCCTTGAGCCCGGAATTCTTCGTCAAATCCGTTAACGCTTTCCTTTCGTGATTGGCCGGAAGTGTATGGGACTAAAGTTTAAGTCTCTCCCCCCACATGAAAGGAAGTGTCGGATCTGGAGGAGACAGCCTGAAATTTGGTGCACCGCAGTTACTGCTTCTTTGTTTCTCCTAAATCACCTTGTTTCCTTATGATGATTTCCCCTTCGCAAGAGTCGACCGCGCCCATTGGGCGAGGATTCTCACCATTCACCATTAACTGAAAAGAGAACACCTGCTTCAAAACGCTCCACCACACGAATTGCTGCTTCTTCCCCAAGACATGGACAAATTGGGTGCCACTGGTCTTTGCCCCGATTTGGGATGTCCCCAGCCTTCAGACTGCCAAGAACTTTGCCGGCTTATCACATGTCTTCCATTCATGGCAGTTTCCATCACCAAGCACTACCAACAAAGGCCAACACGGACCACTCAAAACAACACGGGCCTGTCAAAGCTTTCTGAAGCCAAACCTTGAAGCACTCCCATTGCTTTCTAGATTAGAGCCACCCTTCAATATTTCACATGGAGAAGGGCTAGCGGTTTCCTTTGGCTTCCCCAAAGAAAACCCACCTGAAAATGACTGCTAAAGAAGAAAACAAACAAATGTGGCGCTTCGCGCCGCAAAGCGCGCCCAAAGAAACCAATCGATCGATGTTCGAGTCCAGGACCCACATGCGGCGCTGCGAGTTCTCGACATCTTCTTCAACATTTGTTTCTCCATCGAGCTGCTTCTCCGTGTCGCTGCGAGGGCCTTGGATCACCATCGAGCTAGAAGAGAGAGAGAGAGAGAGAGAGAGAGAGAGAGAGAGAGAGGAGAGCTCACGGAGAGTGAGTTCATAGACTTGACACTTTTTGGAGTTCTCATGTTAGTGGCAATAAAATAGAAAAAGTGCGTATTTTTGTTTTGGCCAGTCCACTCAGGAAGTGAGAGAGAGAGGGAAACCTTCCAATTGCGACCATCTTGTTTATCTTGGGTTCTGGGCCGAGCTGGGGGGGTCGGAAAGCAAAGGGACGTTTTGTGTTTAATGTTTATTTTATTTAATTTTTGGAGAGAGTCGCCACTCCCAGGCAGACCAGAAGTTCTTTGTGTCCTTCTACAACCCTGCGCTGCGCTTCGGCTGAAGATAGGGCATTTTTGGTGAGCCCCCCCAAACAAAAGCCAAGAAAAAACACCAAACTTGGGGCCGTTTTAGTAGGTCCGTGGTTTCATATGGGTTTTAGTATGGCCTAAACCTTGCCATGGTAGCAGCACCAAACTGCTCACCTTGTCAGCGCATGTTGGCCAAGATTTGGGGAACCCAATCTCCCCCACCCCCCAGAAGCAGTCCTTAGTGCTTAGAACCTGCTTCGAAGGGCTGATTTTGACTCTTCCAAGCATAGGTGTCCTTCTTGGTTGATTTGGTTGAAACATAGGTTGGGCGATTCCTGGTTTACCTGGTTTTCTTTCAACTACCAGGGACACCCATCTATTTTCAGCCAACAAGGACACCTATGCTTACACCTTGAATTTCCACCATCCCCAAAACGGGAGGTACAAGGAGGTTGCTAAGGTTCCTTAGGCCTTCGGGAATCCAGGCCTGCGGACCACCCGAGTTCCATGAAGCAGCGGCTGTACCGGCCTTCTAGGGGTTGATCCCTTCCCTTGTCTCAGCCACACCAACTGCCACTGGACCAACTGCCCCAGCCTCGGATCGATGGGATCAATCCAAAGCGCCGCGGTAATACGGTAGGTGTTTTTCGAGGGGTTGAGTCCTTGTCCGTTCTGTTCCACCATCATTATTTTCAAGAACTCAGCTTTTCAACAACCCAGGGTCTTTGGTGGTTTTCTGGAAAGAAGGATCGCTGGAAGGAATGGGGAAGCTACCCCTAGAAGCTTGTTCGTTTTCGGTGATGAGAGGCATTGGAACATCTTGGACATGGTTCTGGTCTCGTCCGAGCCTGAGGTTGCTTCGCCCTGAAGATCCAGTTGTGCTCATTTAAACGTGTGTCTTCTTTTCAATCTCGCCCCCCAACCAAAAAAATAGACAATTGCAACACATGTGGCTTTCCTGTTGGTTTCCCTTTGATCACCACACAACAGGGTACCCTGAAAAAAGGGAACACCGCCATGGGTAAAGACTGCCAACATTGCCTCCAGGTGGGTTCGCATATTTGCGAGTCCATCTCTGAGCCCCAATGGTCAGAACGCCCCGAACTGGCGGTTGAATCCAGGGATCGAGGTTCCAACTGGTTTCCTGGCGGATCTTCCATTTGCCGAAGTGAATCGTTGAAATTGCTTGCCCCGTTGGATCAATTTCACGACTGGGCATACGTGTTTTGTGTTGTGGTTTGTTTCTCCCAAGTGGACGTATCCACAAATGGAGGTTATTCATGCAGCCAAGGGTGAGCTTGGGCGTTTTCCCCCGGGCATGCATCGGGTGTCGCCTTAGCAGGAGGCACCTCCAGGCTACACAGACCCGACAGGAGTGCACTTCTGGAGGAGCTGGTGAATGTGGTCGAAGCGAGCGGGCCCAATATAGACGTGCGCCTTGCCTGCATTGGCCATAATGCGTTAAGGGGAGCCCTGCAAAAAACGTGGTATTCCGGTTGGCTCCATCTAAAGCCACCCGAAAAAGGGTACTGTCCAAACAACACGCACACACGCGGTTGGGTGGTGTTTCGCCTTTTTCTATTCGATCGTCTAGATTCTGGATGGTCTTAAAGAGAAGCCAACAGGCACCCGAGTGAAGTAGCAAGGAGACATGGAACTGGCGACCCCCCCTCCATCCGCGTTAAGGAGGTGGGGGGGGGATTGGCCAAAAGCTGTTTGCAATGGCCCAGATCCCACTTCCCCCGATAATAGGTATGTTACATTGGTGATCTTTACATTGAGGATGTCACTTTAATGGACCCAGGTGTCTTTGTCCTAGGTCGGTGTTGCGGATGCTGAGAATGGTGCGACTGCTGCGAGACTCGGCAGACATCGCTTTTCGAGCTTTTGGGTCTCTGGGAGCACCCAGTGCTGCTTCCAGGCAAGCCACTATAGCAGGTCACCAGGCAAACCAGCACGTAAAACCTAGAGGTAAGGATCCTGGTTGCAAGTTTGGCAGGTAGCTGGAAGCACTGGGTGAGGTTTACGGAACATGGTCCACCGCGAGAATCTCACGGCTGATAGATTTGTGGGGCTGGAAAGAAACAAAGACCCTGCGGCCTGGGGTTGTAAAGTGAGGCAAGACCTAAAGCGGGGCACAAGCTGAAGTCATGGAGGGAGCGGGCGTGCTCCATGACAGGATTTTGGGACTGTTGGGTGTCAACGTCGAAAACTGGGGTCAGTGCAATTTCGAGGGTCAGGTTTTTCCTTCACCGAAAAAATAGATAAAAAACAAACTATATGACTATATGGGTTGATCTCAACATAGGACGTGGAACCCCTACTTTTTTGGTAGGTTGTCCTTTGGTGGTTGTTTCCTTTAGACAGCACACAAATACCACCATAGTTTAGGATCCCTGGTTACCTGCTGTAGCCCTGGGTTACTTGGATTTTATAGGATCTTGCCCATAGCGAATCAACAGGATCACACATGCTTGTTTTCTCGGTCTGGTTGACTCTTTATCTCTACCGTCGGGCTTCCCTCGGTTTTTTTTCTTCTGTTTGCAGTGTTTTTGTTCTCACTGCGAGGCTCGCGAAATGACCGGACTCTAGACCCGCTAGGGCTTTCAAGGGAGAACCCCACACCCAGGCACCCATCAAAACAGAGACACCCAATTCCGCGCTGTCGCAGGTGTGGCCCGAATTATACGAATGGTGCGCTTCTTCAATGATCTGCGAGTGATGGTGAATGGCATCAAAGCCTCATCCAGAGCATTGCTGTGGGCTATAGCCGCTTGACCAATGTGAACTTTATTTTTCTTCACTGTTGTTGGCATATTTTTTAGGTTTGTAGGTTCTTGGTTCTGTTTGATTTAGTGCAACAAATCAGTCAGTTTTAGCTGCCATACCCTTGAGGTTGTAAAGATTGGTACCAATCACACGGTACACCTCAGGCTCTGCTTCTACTTGCCCCACGCTCAGCCGGCTTCGCGACATGTGTTTCACCTCGCAATGCTGTCCGTTGACCCCTTGTTGCGTTTCTTTGTTCAGCACTTGGCCTTTTGGTGGTGTGTTTAAAGGGGAAATCAGGGGAGCCCGGACCGAGTCTTTTTGATGCAGTGCTTCAAGCTTTTGTCGTTGAGGTGACGTATTTGTTCGGCGTCACCTTCATGCAGCTCTCGGCGACCTATTTGGAAGCCACGGGCCGCGATGGCAACTTATTGATTACGTACTACGGCTCGCCGCTTGGCCCAAGCGGGATGGGGAGACAAGGGGCTTCCCTATCGCCAGGGGCTCCAACCAGGGGAGGGTGGCTCCAACCAGGGGAGGGTGGCTCCAACCAGGGGAGGGTGGCTCCAACCAGGGGAGGGTGGCTCCAACCACAGCAGGGTGGCTCCAACCAGGGGAGGGTGGCTCCAACCAGGGGAGGGTGGCTCCAACCAGGGGAGGGTGGCTCCAACCAGGGGAGGGTGGCTCCAACCACAGCAGGGTGGCTCCAACCAGGGGAGGGTGGCTCCAACCAGGGGAGGGTGGCTCCAACCAGGGGAGGGGCTCCAACCAGGGGAGGGTGGCTCCAACCAGGGTGGCTCCAACCAGGGGAGGGTGGCTCCAACCAGGGTGGCTCCAACCAGGGGAGGGTGGCTCCAACCAGGGGAGGGTGGCTCCAACCAGGGGAGGGTGGCTCCAACCAGGGGAGGGTGGCTCCAACCAGGGGAGGGTGGCTCCAACCAGGGTGGCTCCAACCAGGGGAGGGTGGCTCCAACCAGGGTTTCGGGGAAGCTGCAGAGGGCAAGGGGGTGATGGGTAAAGTTGTGGTAAGGTGGGAGAGTTGGAGATTGGGTTTATTAAGTAGGCTCAGCGCCATTTGAGGATTATTTCCCCTCACAAGCTCCTGTGGGTGGGCACCACTTGGCCAGTTGGTAGGTGGTGTATCCAAATATTCCAAGGGTTTCATCCATCACCTGACATGAATTTGTCCACCAGATCCCGAAGGTTCAGGAGGAGCCTTTGATGAAAGCATATAGTCATATAGGCTTCCAGTTCGTTCCCTCAGGGATGCCTTTTTCAGAGGTCACTGGATGTCCCCTTCAAAAAGTTGCAATTTACCGGTTTCCATTGAAGCTGCCGCTTTCGGAGGTTCCAAAAAGGGAGATCGAGGACGCCCTTTTTTGCATTTTTTTGGGCAACATCACGCTTGAGTGTAACCTTCCAAGAACCCAAGTCCGGGGGGGGGTGGAGAAGCCTTTGGTTACAGGTGGAACTGAGGTTGTATTCAGAGGTAACGCGTGAGCCAAAAAAGCTCTGGCCTTCAGGCTCACGCGGACAATCCTCACGCTCTTCATGACCATCTCAGGCAGGACGGTGGTGAGTTGGGAGCCTCCAAAAAGATGTCATCAAAGCACAGTAGAAAATTGGTTGCGGTTCCTTTGTTTCCTTTTTACCCAAAGCAATGTTCTAGTCTTGTTCCAGCTGGAGCACTAAGCATGGCTTGCTTTTCGCTTTTGCGCCGGTTTGGAAGGATGAGCCATTGCATGCTCAGGGCTCCTGATTTTCGGTAGATGGTTGTGTCGTTTTGTTGGGGGGGGCACCTGTGCTTTTGCAGTTTTGAACAGGAAACCAGAAAAAATGACATTGTCACCATTTTAGAGGGTCTACCCTTCGAACAGTCACACCCAAATAGTGGTAGTGCAATGGCAAGGGCCAAAACTTGAACGTTCAAAGAAGACAAGTTTTGCCTGGGACAAACTGTCCAAATGCGGAAAGAGCAACCATGTTTGGAAAAAGTACACGAGCGGCGCCCAAATCCCGTGGCTGTTTTAGTAAGGTTTGACCACCTGGGGGTTATGGTAAAGCCTATACAAACCTGGACAGTCTAAAAGCTTCAATGGAGAGTCGCGATTCGACGACTTGAGGCGGAATGCTGTGGAATGAGGCCTTGAGGCCACTCAGCGATATTCACTGGATGGTGGATGTCCTCTTCCTGCTCTACATCATTTCCACGGCCGCTTGACAGCAGCAGACCAGGCTTCCAGTTCGTTACCACTAAAGGCTTGCAACTGGGGATCCTTACCTCTAGGTACGTCATGGTTCCCCCCTCTTTGCAAGCCTATGGCGAAACGCCTGGAAGCACTGGGAGAGTTTAGCAGCAGCAGTGTGTTCATTCAACCCACAAATCAAACTTTTAGCCCCGTCACGTCCTTGAACTCGGAGCCAGAATTAGCAAGGGGCCCGAACCAGCCGAAAAGGTAAACAAACCCTACACATCGGTTGGGCTTCAACAGCCCACCCATTTTGTTGAACATGGAACCAACAGAACCCGGCCCGTTTGTGGAGGAAACTCCTGTTGGGCCCCCTTTTGGGTTCCACGTTTACTTATTGGGGGGGGGGAGGCAAGTAGGACTCTTTGCGACTTCAGGGGTAGGGACGAAGGGCCCTTCAATCAGTCAAGGGAGTTCCACTGATTTGAGCAGCACTCAGAACCTATTCCCCTCGGCCGTTTTAGCAGGTGGTTTTCTCCCTACCTGGTTGAATAAGTACACCCTGCAACAGGCTTAAACTCTAGTGAGGTGAACTTACAACTGTTGGTAAACACGGGAATCACCTGGAAAATGGAGAAGGGATACCTATATTTTAGGTGGTTCTCTATCCAAAGTTTAAAATTTCACCTTCAGGTTGGCCTATGGAGTTCCATGTCTGGATTCCTCCATCTTCCGTTCTGTGGAAGACTGGACAAATGTAAATGGGGGGAGCCCTGAATCATTGTTTACTGGAGGCAGGGGTATCTCCAGGGTTAAACTCCCACCAGTTTCTCGGCTTTCCTTTGGGGATTGTTGATAGGTAATGGCATACCGACATGATACTGGCTCAAGAAAAATTGACTGCCGCCCGTGCTGACATTTAGGTAGATCCCACCTTTCAACAGGTTATCAGCCGTATCGCTGGTACCTTGTACAGTCAGCTCTCACCCGCGCCGCAATGGCGTCAAGCGGCGACGGATGCCACCCTGCCATAGCAAGGATGAACGAAGCAGTGGCCAACGAATTGATCAAGGGTGGGCATCCGGAAGGGAAACCGCCATGCAATCCGTCACAGCGCTCCCGGAGCAGTTTTCCTGAGTCCGACCAAGGCGATGCGCTTGTGCCCATCACTTCGGTCGTCCTTCCGGAGGATTCAATGGGAAGCGGAGGGGAACCTCTCGCCGGACATCAACCTGGACAAGAGATGCACGCGCACATTGTCACGTGACTAAGAATGAGACTCACCTTCATCAACATAACCACATCAACGTATGCCAACAAGAGGCAATGGCGAAGGAAAGAGAGTTCAACGAGGCAAGGCAGCAGTGGGTTGCTCAACGCTTAGAAGCTGAACAGAAGTATGAACGGCTCAAATTGATTTGGGAAGTCACCCACAACAAGCAGAAGGAGGAAGCGGACAGGAACGCTGCTGAAATGAGGGAGATTATCATGAAGCAGTCGAGGGACATTGAGGCACTACGTCATGAACGGAAATCTCGCAGTGAGCAGAGTAGTTCTTCTAATGTTCCGATTTTCGGTTTGAGGCCTAAGGCCTCTCCTGTACAGACGTTTCCTCCTCCCGGCCTGGACCTTAGTTCTAAGGTACGTATCAGGTCAGCTTCTACCGAGCTCCGCCGTGATGGGCCAGGTGCCGCCGATGATCTTGACGGGGATGCCGAGGAATACGAACCGACATCTCCGGCACAGGACCCAAACGATGGTGGTGGAAATCCATCAGGCGCAGGGAATGGCCAGAGCGGAGGCGGTGGGGAACCACCTGCCGGCAATCCCGATGATGACGATGATCATGACGACGACGATGACAATGGGAATGATGATGGGAAGAAGAGCAAGAAGGACAAGAAGAAGAAGAAGAAGGACAAAAAGAAGAAGAGCAAGAAGGACAAGAAGAAGAAGAAGAAGAAGAGCCACAAGAAGCGAAAGAGTGGGTCTCCTTCCGACTCTCCGAGCTCTTCATCGTCCAGCTCCTCAACATCATCATCCTCATCATCATCATCGGAGAAGGCACGAGTGATCCGCAAGAAGCTCAACAAGATCTTGGGTAAGCAGGCGAGCGCAGTGGACGCAGACCATGACAAGCCCAAGGTCAAGGAGGCGGAGAGAATTATCATTCCCTCCTTCCCACTTCCTGAGAGTTACAGGAATTGGCGTATCAAGGTGCGGGAAGCCGTATGCGCGGCATCCGATCGCCCCGATGACGCTTTCACGTGGATCAGCAGAGTGTGGGAGCCCGCCGTTACTATCGAGGAGCTCAAAGAACCCAGTACCTTCCTCACCTTGGACGCCAAGTTGCTGTCCGCCCTCATTCAGGGTGACCTGGCGAGACAAGTCGACACCTTCAAGGAGGTAGAGGCGCAGAAGAGGAATCCAGTTCGTGGGAGACAAGTGCTTCTCATGGTGCACGAGCACCTGAGCACGAACATCAAGCACGGAGCCACCTATGCCATGGAAGATCTCCTCAATGTGAGGCTCGTGAATGATAACCTCACTTCCTTCATGCGTAGCTGGGAGGGTGATCTTGCAGGAATGAATGCCAAGACACCGGATGACTCCATGCTTGAGGCTCTGTTCTACAACCAGCTGAAGAAAAGCAAGCAAATGCAACACCACTTGAATGTCTATTTGAGCGCCTCGGAAGAGTCCGCCGATCACTCATACACCTACTTGATTGAATCTGTGAGGCAATACCTGTCTCGAGCAAGGCTCGAGCGCAACCGAGAACGGGTTGCTAGGCAGAACGGGGGTAGGCCAGCCGCACCCGCCGCTGAGAGCCAACGTGTGCCTAAGGGGTTTTGCATTGCATTTGTCAAGTATGGGTCGTGTCGGCGGGACAATTGCACGTACAAGCATGAACAGCCATCGGGCGATGCCAGGGGTAGGACCCCATCAAGAGACGCTAAGCCTAAGAAGGGTAAGGGTAAAGGCCGAACGAATAGCCCAAAGGGAAAGAAAGAGTGCCGTTTCTACCCTAAGGGGAGGTGTGACCGTGGTGAAAACTGCCCGTTTGCTCACATCGACCCGAAGCCGGCCGTTCCAGGGTCAAGGGAGCCATCCGCAGACAAGCAAAAGAAGCAGGGAAAGGATCGGAAGCATCGCAAATCGAGCAGGGATCGTTCCAAGTCGACCTCTCGATCCACTTCCCGTGATTCCAAGGGAGATAAGAAGAAGGGTCACAAGGGAAAGTCTTCCGGAAAGCCTTCTCCTGCTGCTGTTTGCGTGTTGGGATGCTTGTTGTCTTCCATGATGAACGCCCCTATCGCTGAGGGGAACCTCATGTCGGACTGGAAGCATGTGCCTGCCCTCCCGAGCGTGCGTTTCAGCTCGAAGGTTGAAATGAATCGGATACCAGCACATGGTGAGCAGTTTAAGATCGCGGACAAACCGCGCGTGTATTCAAAGGTCTACCCAATCGACCATCAGTTTTTCCATGATGAAGTCAGCATAGATGATGCTAGACTCGGAGCAACCATGCTCGCCTTCATTGTGAGGCGTGAATTGGAAGGCCATCCGACTAGATGCAAGTACGAATGTGACAGCGAGATCGGATGCTGGCAGTGCGCCCCGAGAGACATGGGCGCAAAGCCCGCACTGGCGAGCAAAAGATTTTCTCCGAACTGTTCATGGATTATTGACACTGGGAGTGGGACCGACCTTTTCACTCGTGCGAATTGCCCCGATTACGCAATTTATAATTCAAATGACCCCGTGATGTTGATGACTGCCAATGGACCAAGTGATTCGTCAAAGCAGGCCAATATGGCCGCAGGTGACCTTGGGAACACGGATCCCTACTTGTTGCCACAAACACCCTCTGTTCTCTCTGTAGGTTTGAAGAAGTGCATGAATCAGGGTTATGACTTCATATGGTACGCGAAGGATAAGCCATTCTTTGTCAAGCCTGATGGGACGAAAATATATCTCAAAGTTCGAGATTATGTCCCGTACTACGACGTGTGGGATGGCGACTCAGCCATGGCATGTCCCGCCAAAGGCACACCGCCAAGCCGACCGGAAGGTCAGGTCGGCAGAAGCAATGCATCGAGTGAATCGTCATACTCCTCCTCCGTGCAAGCTGAAGATGCCGCGGAAGAGGAGTACACGCCTAGCATTGCCCCTCTAGAGGATCCTGAGGTGCATGCTAGAGTTGTCGCCGAGCTTCTGGCGGATGACCCCATTGAAGTCAATCCAAATGAACTTGCTGAGCCGATAGAGAGTAAAGATTTGGCAGGGGAAGATGTTGTTGGCAATCCCGATAAGAAAAGCCCTAGATCACTTGCAGAAAGTGCCCTAAGGCAGGAAGCAGCATCACGGAAGCACCTGATGACACACCAGCCAAAGAATCCATTCTGCGAAGTGTGCAAATGCGCCAAGATGACCAAGTCTCCCTCTCGCTCGCGGGGGGGATCCAGACAAGTTGATGCTCGAAAATTTGCTGAGCACATCACAGCCGATTTCATAATCACTGCAGACGAACAGGAACTAGGCATAGACGATGAGTACTCTGCTCTTGTCATAAGTGACGTTGCCACCGGTTTCAAATATGCATACCCTTTTGCTAAAAGAAACACGGAGGCCACTGTGAAGGCGTTTCAGCATTTCACTTCCTCGTCAGACGAGGTTGGCACGTTTTATAGTGACAATGCCCCCGAGCTAATTGCTGCAGCTGAACAGATGGGCTGGAGACATGTCCTCAGTCAGGAGTACATTCACAAATCGAACGCGGTGGCTGAACGAAGCATCAGAACCGTGCTCGAGGGAACTCGAGTCGCACTTGCACAGGCCGGATTGAATCATTCATACTGGCCGCACGCCGCAAGGCATTGGTGTTTATCTCAAAATGTTTGTGAACCACCTTCTGGTTCCAGAACACCTTGGAATCTTAGGTTCGAAGAAGAGTTCAAAGGTCAGTTCTTGCCGTTCGGATGTCGCATAGACTACTGGATCGGCCCAAGACAGAAACCGA